GACAAGTCCGCTTGTGGTGAATTATACTCGAAATCCCTGAGATCGGGTAGGCGTGGCATCATATTTCAACTTAGCCGGACGGTGTCTATGCTTCTGGTGAGATATTTTCATCTTGACACGATGTTGCGTGTCTCTGTCCAACACAGAACAAGATGACAATTGTCCCAGACTGGAATATCCCACGAGTAATCAGCTCCGTGCCATGTTCAAATGCCACGCCTACTCTGTCTCAGGGATAAGGAGTGTATCTGCTGTAAGTGATTCTGATAGTCAAACAAAAATTTTCAGCGTAGCCTACGAGTACCGAAAAAACCAAAGGCATTAAAGCCACCAGCGTCGAAGGAATCATCCGGTTTCCTCATCACTCGGGTACGTTGGTTTTTATAGTCTAAAAACCGAGCATGTGGCAAGAGAACCGTAATTCGTCGCGCCAGTTGACGTCGCGTGCGACACCGCGCACGCTAATAATGACGATTTTGGGTGGTATCGGTCGAGAATAGATAATGTATGACAAAAACTGGACATACGTGTCTACCATGTCCTTGTCTGCATGAAATGCGAAGCTCCAATCGAAAAGGTAGTGCATATTAAGGAAAGGTCGCGCTCATTGCTGTGCGCAACGAAGCGGCAGTTTACGATTCTCTTGCCCGTCTCCCCTCAAAGCCAACTGGTGTACACCAGATAATTCGGAGTATTGCAGGAAACTTCGAGCAATGTCCAAGTTCTACGGCCAATAGAATGGTCTATACAACCACTCTTCAACACGGAGCCGTCACGAATCACTCACTGTAATCTCGTTCCCATATTCAGCAAGGCTGATGCGAAACCCTACGATCTAGACTGCCCTCTCACAAGCTTCGAGCGAAAGTTGAGGTAAAGCTGAGATATTTGAAAAGTTCCTATACAGCGAAAGCTCAAGCAGGGAGAAGTACGACTGAAGCCCACTGGGTTCGGAAATGTGCAAAAGTCTAGGATGATAGACTACTCACCCTACAACCCAACCTCGTGGCAGCGAAATACCTCATACCTCTCGTTCTAACTCACCTTTTTGACGAGAAATCTCACGCTAACGAGCAATATCTCAAAACCGATATCCAGTTACTCCGGCTAAGATTGCGTTCATACTTTGCGGCAGCGTCGACCACTACGTTCCTAGCGTCTACCAGCGTCTATCAGCGGCTGCGAGCGTCTGCCAGCGTCCAGCAGAGTCTGGAGAGCTCGGGAACTATAGGTATCGATCTACGTCTGCCACCGTCCAGCACTGTCTACCAGCGTTCACCAGCGACCGGGAGTAGAGAGTATTGGGGAGTAGGAGAGTAGCAAATAGCTGGATTAGGCGGCCAGAAATCGCGGCGTGTAGTATCGTACAACTGCCCTAAACTGTGCACTGAACTGCATAATCCTGTGCTCTAAAGACACATGGTACGATCACATATAGTTTGGGTGTGCGTGACCATCAGCCCCCCCCCCCTCAGCTGTCGAACCGTAGTGGTTTCCCCATCCTAACATGCGCAGGAATGGAGTTACAGGACCGTGAAGCACGCTGATTCCTCCATGCTCCGCCCGATACCTTTTTACGGCGCAGATTCCCGTTCATGCTAACATCCGTCGTAAGCGCGGGTGTCGCATGTGGCTCTCCTGGCACTTTGCCAAGTCCTGTAATTGCGCTCTGAGTACAATTCAAACGCAATTTCCTGATTCGGATAACATTTGAGGTGCTACAAAATAAGAGACCGAAGATAATGGCGAGGGTCAGAACTCAAGAGTAACTGTGCTGTTCTGTCCAAATATCCCTCGGAGGCCGGCGCATTTCTACGAACATGAAATAAAAACGGACCCAAGCGTCCACCTGTTAGTTTAAAGTATTATTGGCGGCTAATCCGTTTGGACTCCAGCAACTTCGCACCGAGCTAATTTTTAAATTGCCTAAGTTACCAAATCGGCTAAAAACTTGTATGTAGGAGTAGTTTAACATCCTGATTACGAATATGACATTCTCTCTTGCGCTGGCGCTAATGATGACACTACGATTACCTGCGCGTCGCTAAGGCTAAGCCCAAGAGGTAATTATAGTGTCATCCCTTGGCGCCAGCGCCAAGAATGAGTGTCATAATTGTAATCAGGATGGTAAATGACCCTTGTGTACATATTTTCAGCGGGTTTGGCGACTTAGGTAATTTAAAAATGAGCTCGGTGCCGAAGTTGCTGGAGTCCAAACGGCATTAGCCATTATTGGCTTTGAAGCCGGAATCGCGCCAAATTGCAGAAATTTTAAGCAATTTCAATTAATTTGCATTTCCTTAGTCTTTTCATTTTTGTTTTATTTACATCTACATTCGTTGCTCTTCATTGCTAGCCTTTGTCGTCTACATCACCTTGTATTGGGACTTTGCAGTATGAGAAACACCTCAAATATTATTCGCATCAGGAAATTGCGCTTTGCTTGTATTAAACTAACGAGTGGGCCGTTTCTATTTTCATGTTTTGTAGGAATGAGCGGCCTCTGAGGGATGTTGCAGAAGCAGCACAATTGCTCTTGAAAGCAGCCCCCGCGCTCAAGTAGTACATAGTCGTCCTCCCTTGTGCAAGTAGTACAGCCCCCAAGCTAGAGAATGTCCCACTCTATTCGACTCCACAGTGAGCAAGGAGCGAGCCACAGCCGCTGAAATTTCTAGTTCTAATGCCTGCTCAGTTGGACCGCCTTACTTGCTAGATGCCCTCCGACGGAGGGCCACTCAGTTCTTCTTAGTTGGGGCGGCGGGCATAAATCGGAATTGCATGTCCTTTTTGCTGACCGCGCTCGTGCCCATGGATTATTCTGCCCTCCTCTATTACTTTTAATGATAAGGAGCACATACATTCAACTCAACCCATTTCGCAAGGTGAAACGCGTGAAAGTCACGAGTGACGCAATTTTCGTGGTGCAAAAGCTCGGCGCACTTCACTACATTAGAACGTGGGCTACCGTGATCCCAAATTCGGACACCGAGTCTTTAAGAGTTCTTTTTCCTTCCAAGTGTTTTTCCTCTGCGTTTTTGTTGTTTTTTTTTGTATTCTTTTTTTGCACTGGATGATATCAACTACTGCGAGATGTGATAGAGAGATTTGTGAGCTAGGGGTTGCAGAGAGATCGCAGGGAGGTATGGCTGTGAGGGAGCCATTTAGTTTATGGCATTCTTGAGGACTCTTCTTGCTTTTTTTTTCTTCTCTGGGGGATTACTTATCAGCTTCTGTTTCATAATTGAAAAGCAACTGTCCATGAAACTTTTATAGCGGGAGCTGTCTTTGAGTTCTGGCCCTCGCCATCATCTTCTGTTCTTATTTTGCAGCACCTCCAGTGTTAACCGCATCAGGAAATTGGGTTTTACTTGTATTCCAAAGCGCAATTATACAGGATTTGGCAAGGTGCCAAGGGAGCCGCACGCGACACGCGCAACTACGACGGATGTTAGCATGAACGGGAGTCTGCGCAGCAAAAGGTATCGGGCGGAGCATGTAGGAATTAGCGTGTTTCACGGTCATGTTTTGCATTCCTGCGCATGTTAGGACGGGGAAACGGCTACGTTTCGACAGCTGGGGGGGGGGGCTGATAGTCACGCACACCCAAACTATGTGTGATCGTACCATGTGTTTTACACCCAAACTATGTGTGATCGTACCATGTGTCTTTAAGCTGCGTTCATACTTTGCGGCAGCGTACGCTAGCGTTCCCAGCGTTCGCCAGCGGCATTAGCAAGGCACAGGCGTGCTTAGCGTAACGCTAGAGTATTCCAGCGTGCGCTAGCGTAGCGAGAGCAAGGAAAGCATAGGTATCGATCTAGTATCTAGTACGCTATTGCCTGCTAATGCGGTGCGGCCTACACCCGCCGCAATTTCACAGCACGCATAATTGAACTATTTTCTACTCTCGTACATTCCCATAGTCCCTTCTACACGCCGCTGCAAACGCTAGCGACACACCGGTGAAACCCTGAAAACGCTAGATCGATGCCTATGCTTTCCTTGCCTTCGCTACGCTAGCCTACGCTGGAATGCTCTAGCGTTACGCTAGCGCATGCTGGTGACGCTAGATCGATATCTATCCTTTCCTGCCACTGCCGCTGGCGAACGCTAGAAACGCTAGCGTAGGCTGGCGTACGCTGCCGCAAAGTATGAACGCAGAGTTAGCAGTTGTGCGGTGCGGTTGCACACCCCACGACGTCTAATCCAGCTGTTTGCTATCCTCCTATATCCCATACTCTCTGCCCCGGTCGCTAGTCACGCTTGTGGACCAGGGCGCATCATTGGTTGGGGATTTTAGTCGACTCCACACGACCCTCCCTTCGGCCCTCTGTCCCTCCTCATCGAATTGAGCCGTCGAGCGCGTAGGGCGTATAGTACGCATGAAACAGGAAAAATCAGGTGAATCACCGAAAGTCAACCGCCACTCCCACAACGCCAAAACGTAAATACGACCCCTCCCATCAATGATCAAATACGACACCCCCCTCCTGGCGACCAAATACGACCCCCCCCCCTATAGGGGATTCCCCAACAACGATGTGCCCTGTTGTGGACGTTTGCACAAGCGGCGGACGCTAAGTGGACCCCTACACTTCTCTGGCCCTCGAGACGCTCGCAGACGCTGATGGGCGTTGGCAGACGTTGACGCTGGCAGACGCTGACGCAAAGTAGAACACAGCCTAATGGTCTCGGGATTTGTACAGTATTCTGCAGGATGCAAGATCGAGCAATATACTATGCATTAGCTGTAAATACTGTGGTAGTGTACACACTTTAGGTTAATTAATAAAAGAGTGATTGGAAAGGATTGATATGAAAAACAGCCGAGTTGTTTCAGACCAACTTAATATTTGTAACGAATTTTGTGAAAAAGTAAAGAGCAAAAAAAACAAGTAACGGATAGTAGAGTCTTCAAATTCAGGTGCCATAAAACCTTTGGTGCTGGTCTTCATCCTCATGAGCAGCTTCTCTGTCCGCAACAAGCGAGTCAAATCGAGATGCGTTTCACGAGTACGTGTTCAACTGACGTCATTGTACAGGTGAAAGACGTAGACAATTTCAAGCTGAACTACGAAAATGATCCCCAATAGCTGCTAAGCATTAAGCATAAAGGATAAAGACTCGGCGTTGATCTATTCCTCTGTGAGATACGCCACGCATCCTACTTCCATTATAAATCGCAGTGGCTCATTGAATGCGATGGGTCTATGTAGTGACTTGCGGGGGCTGGCCCATGTAAAAAGCGGTGTTCCTATTAGACGAATCCGATACCAATTTACGGTCCCCTGAGGCAAGAAGGTTTGCTGGGTTGGACTCGGGATTTGAACCCAGGACCGCGCATGTGCTAAGCGCCACTTGTCACCACACGACCTCCGCCTCGGCTGTCCAGCATACCAATCATAAATATTTGCTATGTAAGAACTCATCACACGCTTAGGTGAACAGCTTTTTGGAAAAGCTTTGGAAAAGTTCTGTTCGTTCAGATTTGTAAAAAAAAAGGAGCAAGATATTCGATTTAGGTACAAGCACCGAATGGAGAATTAAGCAATTACCTGCATCCAGTTAGAAATAATTCGGCTGCATTCACGCCTTCCAAGGTGAATATTGCACCACTGCTTACTCAAAATGACATCAGATCAGCGTAGAAAGTAGTTTTTTGAGGTCGGATGTGGTCATGGTATTTGGCGAATTTACGTTGCACTGCGAGTCGGCTGTAGATTCCGTCATTTGCGAACCATAGATATTCATCTTAAAGGGCAAGGTAGGTCTAGACCCAATTTTTTCTATAATTCTAGACTTTCCACATCCTGCTGCAGTACTATCTGTACAACTGCTAACAAAACCTCCGACACTGCTAGGCTGCGTTTATACATTGCGGCAGCGCCAGCAACTAGGAAAGTATATAGATATCGATCTAGCGTCTGCCAGCGTCTCCAGCGTGCACCAGCCTCTACCAGCGTCCGGAAGAGGAGAGTATGGCGCGAAAGGAGAGCAGCATACAACTAGTACCTCCTATCGCAAAATAATCTCTACCAGTTGTCCGCCACCCTCCTATCTCCCCATTCTCTAACAGCTGTATGCCACCCTCGTATCTCCCCATACTCTACCAGTTGTCTGCTACCCTTCTATCGCGGCATACTCCCTACCAGCAGTCTTCCAGTCCTTAACTCCTCTTACTCTACCAGCCCTCTGCTACCCTCCTATCGCGCCATGCTCTCCTGTCCCGGACGCTGGCAGACGCCAGATCGATACCTGTACTTTATACTTCCCTAGCTCTCGAGACGCTGGTGGACGCTGGTAGACGCCGGAGGACGCTGGCAGACGCTAGGTCGATATCTATGCTTTCCTAGTCGCTGAAGCTATCGGACGCTCGAAACGCTTGTGGAGCTATTGGTCCCTGGGACTCTGCCGCAGAGTATGAACGCAGCCTTACTTAGCTACTGAACTGTGGTGAACTGTGACGTCTACTTTTCCCATCTATCATCTACCTATTACAGAAGTTTGGAAATTCTAGTATTTCCAGGTGTTCTCGTCTACAACGTTGAACCAACAGCTACAATACGGTTGACAGAGAGGCTATGGCTAAACTGGTTGATGTAGCGATTTGGTGCTAGCCTTTCTACCTCAGGTGTTGGTACTGAAAATAAGTCCATTTGGTAGACTATGAACGTCCAGTACACATTACTGGCACAACAAAGAAGTACATTCGAAGTCCCTGAGATGTGGTAGGCGTGGCTGCACGCTTTAACTAAACGTGGCAGTAACTGTGCTACTGGTGAGATATTTGAATTTGGCACAATTGTGGACGTGTCTCTCTCCAACACAGAACAATATGACAGTTCGCTCGAACTGAAATATTCCACGCGTAACCCATTCTATGCCATATTCAAATGCCAAGCCTACTCAGTCTCAGGGATAAGGATTTTACGTCACACCCTGTGATGACTGGAGAGTTCCACGATCACCCTGTTTCTGAAGATAAATCCTCTCTTGTTTACGGTCAATACAATTTGAAAGAAGCTCATTTTTGCATCTTCCATGTGAAGTGTTGTGCTGCGCTTGGCCCTAGAGGCATAGTTAGGCCCAGCTAGGCATCCAGAGCAGGGTTAAGCGGTGATACTCATGCCTACATATTAGTTACTAAGCACGTTAATGTATGTACGTTAGTAGCCCTCCACAATGGTAAGTGGAGAATCCGTTAACGCATTGTGTAAAACTAGTACGTATACCGGTATATTGTTCCGTTCACTTACATATGTTCTATTGTTCTCGCTATGCTTTATTTTTTTATCATAAACAAGATATTATTACAAGCTTATTCATGCAGCTTTAATACCTAATATGTGAGATGTTACTGAAAAATGAATATTGTTATCGTTCCCTGCAAACTTGTACTATTATTAGAATCCCCCACTACACTTACATCAGTCGTTACAGAAGTACAGTACCTAAACTCTCTGGAAACAGTGAAGATTTGGCTTTTTTATCTTATTTTCTTTCTTTATGTAACGAGATCACAGTTTTTTTTTCTATGAAGAGCCTTATGTGGCTAAAATTAGTTGGTTACACAGTGTTCTATAACCTTTTTCCCTGCGGATGCTGGGGCATGTCATAGGCTGAATTCCCTGGCGTCAATCCGTACTCTTCCACTTGTTGAAGAGGGCAATCGACACTAACTGGTGAAAAACAAGCTGGCACCATGCCAAACCAGGCGCCCCTCGCGGGCCCAACATCCGCAGCGAGCAAGACTGTGAAGTAGCTTGAAATTTGAAAGAATTTCTTGATTCTCGTAACCAATGATGCTTTCATCATGTCGCTCGGAGAATGCTTTATAAGGAATGGAGCCTCGCCTGGGAACCTGCATCCCTCTGAAGCACTCCCTGAAAACTCCAAAAGGATCACTCATTACTGTAACCGAGACGTTTCTTGAAATCAAAGGAAGTACCGGACACAGCACTTCTAGCCGATTTCAAGGGCAGTCCTACTGCCCCACTCCCAGCGCTCAAGCAACTGGTAGGTGTCCTTCCTTATAACCAGTATGGCCCTTACAGATTGTTATTCCTTTTTTTCTGGCTTCACAGCAAATGACGAAGTTGCAGCAGCCCTCATCAGTGGATGCTCTGACGCCTCCCTAGTGGCCCCGCCCACCGAAATCAAAAGGCTCTTCTCCGTCACAGGTTGTTTTTCTTTTCACCGTGGTTTCCGTTTTTCCCCACTGTTAGATGGTATTCGCATTGGATGACCATTAGCGAACCAGAGGCGGCAGTGTATCACTTCGCCGGCATAAAAGGGAGCAGGCCCTGAGGACTCGTTCAGAGGCTGCTAGGTCAGGTACTTGAGGTGTCTCCAAAGCTCGTTTTTCTTCCCTGGATAATCATTTAGCGACTGCGGGCGCGTAGTTGGGCGCCATTATTTAGGAGGCACAGCCGCGGGGTTTACCTTTAGCCCGAAAGAGTTCGTGTAAATATTTTCTTAAAGAACTTTAGAAACCCAGCCACAGTAGAAGGAAACTACAAAAAGAACTCGTTCTTTTCCGAAGAACTGAGTTGAGCGCTCTATAGTCTACTACCCGGTCACCAAAACTTTCTGTACTGAAGGAATAGACGAAGAAATAACAACCTTCAAATTTATTAGTCAGCAGAGTACGGAAATACTGAAATGAAATATCGATGATATATTAAGGGAAATGATATCGACACTTCTAGAGTAAGAGGCAAAGTGACCAAAGACAATCATGCAAGAAAAGTCATAAATAAGTAAACAAATGCACAAGCTGTTTGTTTAGGTACCCAAAACAAATAAAGAGCATATTAGACAGATGAGACAACTCGGGATTCTTCAACCACATCAAATACATATATATCAAAAGTATACATTTTATACATAATCTATATAAAAAATCAGAGAGCATGACACTTTATATTCACCCAAATGAAGAGCAGCTGATATAAAAGACCTCAGCATTATGACACTTTGTAATTGAACCCAGAAAAAAACCGCTACTATTTTTTTTACCCTGAACCTATGAGAACAAAAGAAAAAACAGATCTATTGAGAAAAACCTGTGACTAAAGCTCGAGTGATGATGCATTGCCATCACCTCCAGATAGCTTTTCAGCGTCTGATGGAATCCTTGTCTGACCATCAGAAGATGGTGACACGACATTTCGAGGCAATGCGGCCGGCACTGATGGGCTAGTTACAGTTGGTTCTGTTGATCCTCGTTCCTCTACGGAGTTCGGTTCAACTCCTTCATCAGCAGATGTGGTCGTTTCTGGCCCTGCGACACACTCAGAACTGCCTCCCACCTCCATCGGCACATCCTTGTTAGCGTCAGTGCAGGGAGTAACTTTCTGTTCCTCACCAATTTCATCAGGATCGACATGCAACACCTCAATCAAGCTCTCGCCCTCATTACAATCTAAACTCGAATCAGCTGTAGTCGTTTGACTGACGAGAGGGAGCACGAGCGAGGTCTCCATTGTCCTTCCTCCACCAATCAGGATGCTGCCATCGAGATCCTGAAATCCATAAGTAAATTCATTCAGTAAAATAGCAGTTTCGTAAGCGAAGAAGCTATGATGTTCCGTTTCGTATGACGATTCGGGACGTAAGAAAAGCATATCCGTTAGCACAGCATCTCTAGTACGACGTCGAGTGAGCTGTTGCTCCTCCCGTAGCAGAGAATACCAGCGCTGATCGAGTTCATGCTGTTTCTCCATAGATTCAAAGAGACTTTGCTGCTCTTGAGTAAAAGGAGTCCATGAAACTGGTAATACCTGAGCTAAAATGAGTTGTTGAGCAGCGAAATATTCCAGATACAACTGATGCATTTGACGTAGCTGTTCCTCGAGTAGATCTTGTCCCTGGACCATTTCAGCACGTAGATGACGATTGTATTCGCGAATCTTCTGACGTTCAAGGGCAATTGGATTACCGGCTGCAAGCAGTTCCCGTTCCGCCTCACGAAGCTTTTTCAGTAGTGGCCATTTCGGCATCTTCTGAAACAGTAGAAATTTCAGTATGGAAGTAACGCGATTCTAGAGAAGTAAAACAGTAAAGGCCTAGTAATGAAAAAATGTTTTGAAGAAATATAAGCCCAGGGAGAACGCGTGGTATGGTCTACCACAGCCGAATCGCAGAGAAAGCGGCAAAAGTGGCGTTGCAATGGACTACACGCGCAGCATTCGCATCAGCATCCAATACTCATCTTAGCAACTGAAGCATGCCAATTTGACTAGAAGAAGAACCGGTATTCGTGCGCAGTGATGTGACTCTCATGTCCTGGATTACACCCGAGATAATGCTCGTTTAGATTTCATAATAAGTATATTTTCTTTAAAAAGGCAGCGGGTACGACCGCTAAAGGCGGCGGTTGTTGCCAGCGTCACTGGTGGAAGGGCTGCGAAAGGACGTTTAGCCACACCCACTCAGCCCTCCCACCGCTGACGTTGGCGACAACCATCCGCCCTCAGCATCTACCTTTGAACTTTTTATTCTTCGAAATTTTTAGGGATTTCACAGCAATCAAACTATTGGGAAACCGTACTCAATGGAAAACGCTAGAAAAAGGAACCATGCAATGGTCGCGTCGCTGAACATTCACAGTACCATTAAATATTACCATTACGCTTTAGCACAGCAGCATGAGAAGTACTTGTAATACAGAACAATGGCCTACTCTGAAGGTCTACTCATCATAATTCAGAACCTATTCTACATTCTAGATAAGGTAGACCGGTCCGCAAGCGTAGAGGCTCCAAACCTGTGGACGGCTAGACGCCTTTTCACTACACTGAGCCTGCACCTCGCCTAAAAGTGGTCACAACTGACAGCAGCTCTGCTAGTGCCTCTTGTTTCGCCCGTCCCATCGTCTCTTTTACAGTACCAGGCTTCCACTGCTCATTCGCTGCAAACTCGCACGAACTTATTACAATGCAGTACATTAAGAAGGAAATATAACTCGCTTCTGCCTGCTTGATTTGCTTTTGCTTCACTAACGGGTCAGTTAGAAGCCATAGTTGCATATCTAAACACCATTGCTCATCCTCTGACACGGAATTTGACCCTCTCCTACTTAGACTGCGCTCACACTCACACCAAATGGCTAACGAACGTGCGCGTGAGTGACCGGTTACCCACACAACCCACTGCACACTTCACTCAAATGGTCTATTTCTTTGGCGTTTACCGGCCTGTTTCAAAATTGTCAAGCCTTAGCCAAGGCAGAAATTAATAAAAACAGAAAGTTAATAAAAATACACTAGCATGGAACAGCAAGCTAACGAAAATGTTTTTAATGAAAATACTTACTTCATCTGACTCGTCGTCCGTTTCCAGTTCCACTTCGAGTGCGTTCAGATCGATCGGTTGTGGTCTTTGCAGCACTGGTTGGAAAGCTGAAGGTTCTGATGAGGATGGCTCCAGTCGTTCTGATGAGGTATCGTTCTGTTTTTCGCCTTGTGACATATCGGCGAGCATCGTCCAAGTGGGAAGTGGGTTGTAGACAGGAATAGGATGTTTTAGGGGGCAATCACGTCGTTCGGTTACAGTTGGCATCACTTGTACATTCTGATCATCCTTCTCCATATCAGGATCCTCTAGATGAGAAAATCGGGACACACTCCGATCGGGTCTACTATACCACACTACTGGTATACTACGCTGTGTTCTGTCTTCCAACCAAAACCGTGCTGATTTTAGAAAATCGTGACGATGACGTTCGTCTCTCTTGACCCACTGATCGGGGAACTCCAACTCTCTATGTCCTCGTCGACGACTGCGTCGTGGCTCTGAGGTAAGCAGCTCTCCAACACCATAGACCCGGAAACGGTATCCAGACAACGCCCTGGGGTACATGTAACGTTCACGCCTTGATTCACAAAGACTCGATGGTGACACATTTCGGAATGGCAAATGGACTGTCGGCTTCCATGATGCTGGCATAGAGGCGGAGCGCTTCTGGAGCGACGAATCCGATTTCAGTGGCAACGACAATGATGACCTTCGTCGAGGTTTCTCAAGCTCTGGTTCAGCTGCTATTGGTACCAAACCCGAAACTGGTGCCTCTAAGATCGGTACCTGCTCCAATGATAAGCAAGACAGAGCGGAATGACACCGAGCTGGAGCGCGTCGAGTAGGAACAGTGGGAACATCGCTACATTTTGGTAACACTTCTTCAGAGTAGCATCTTCGTATGGGCATGGAAGTCAAATCCGATACCCAATCCTTAGCACGATCAAGGGCTGCAGCGCAGTCACAGTGATGTTGTCCTATTGGGCCCGAGACATAGTCGTCACCGTCATCCTCATCGCGACCGTAAGAGCTCCATGAGAGCTGATGCATCTGAAACAGGAACATTTAGATAAAGTGATTAGGTCTCATTGTGCCGAACACATAATTAAAACTGTTCCTTGAACAGAAACATACCAATGGATCGTGATTCTCAAAACGTTCCTTCTTTTCATAGTACTCCTCCCATTCCTCATCAGTACTGTACGGTGAAAAATCTCCAGGAGGTAGACTGAAAACAAGACTAACTACTTAAATGAAACAATTCAGCATTAAGAAATTAACATGTGAAGAACATAGAGAAAAACGAAAAAAATAGCAGGAATTCGAGGAAAGTGGAAGCCTGTTGTCCCGTGAATTCCCAAAACTTACAGGAACTTCACATGAGTCAAAATTCGACATAAAATATAAACGCGAATATCTCTCTACTCATGGAAGAGAATTACTTTGTTGTAGAACGACTGTAGTGAACTATAAACAGCCGCTCCTAGGGTACGTATCCCTCCTTGGCTTGATAGCCTCTCTAAGGCTGCGCTCATGGCAGCGTCCACCAGCTAGCCTCCACCAGTGACTACTATCGTTCCTAGGGTCTGCCAGCGTCCATCAGCCTTCCCGGTGACCAGTAGTAGAGAGTACGGGGAAATGGGAGGGGGCATACAGTTGGATTACGCGTGCTAAAGCACAGAATTATGACATTTCATATATGGTGTAGCGTAGCTGTACGGTGCGGTTGCACACGCCGCAATTTCACGACGCCTAGTCCAGCTATCTGCTGCCCTACTAAATACCTCCCCCACACTTCCACTCCTGGACGGACGCTGGTGGACGGGTAGAGCCGGCAGACCCTGGCAGACGCTGGATCGATACCTATACTTCCCTGGCCCTCGAGATGCTGGCAGACGCTGGTGGACGACGGTGGAGCTGGCAGACGCTAGATGATATCTACACTTTCCTAGCCTCTAAAGCTCCGGACGTTTGGGACGCTAGTGGTCGCTGGTGGACCCGCTGGACGCTGTCAGAAAGTATGAAGTCAGCACAAGGAGCCCTTTACATGAGCCACCCCCCCCCACCGAGGTTATTAGCGCTAAAAAACCTTGATCAAAAGCCCATACAAGCTGAAATGTAGTTCCTCGGATCCGCACGGAACAAATATTATTATATTTAATAATGGCCTCTAAACCAGATATATCGAAAGAACGACCTCATCGATTGCCCTGGTTCCCTGAAAAAGGGGTGGGGGGGGATTGGTGAGGACGCATTCACATTCCTGCTGGTTGAGGGCAGTGGGGCGTGTCAAGGAGGATAGGTTGGCGCGGCGCCAGCCCGTTCTGCACCAACTGTATAGAATGGCGGACGATAATTTGGTGGGAAACTGATTGGCGCCGCGCCAAAGCCAGGACCGCTGACGAGCCCCAGCACCCGCTGCAAACAAGATTGTAGCGATTCGCGATGATTTTGTAAAAGTTTTGATCTCAAACATTTCTGAGGAGAACGTCGTAGAAAGACCAGGTAACTCACAGGTCCAGTTCACGATCAACACGACGAGGACGCTTGAAACGTGGCTCGAACGGCAAATACAATTTGAAGTGAATATCTGCAAAACTCGAGGATTTTTGACGCAGAAATATTTCATAAACAAAAATAACCAAAAGTGGCATATCCAGTTTCACTTCACAACTTACCCAATTTCAGAATCACTGATATAAACGCTGACGTGATAGGTATGTGACTCTGCATATGGATAATAGGTGGAATTCGTTTGTCGGAGATCTGAAAATATTCGGAATATATGCATAACATACGAGTAGTAGTGAATCTGACAAATGTTATCAATTAGGTCACTAAAATAAAATGGAAAGCGATCTACTCAATTTTTAAGTCTGTTAATTACAAAGCCGCCGCATCTATGCATTTCATGCTAGTCTGAAGGTTCTGTATTTGGCGCAGGGTATACGGCTTGAGTGCGAGGATGAAGGTGGCACTGATGGGGCCAAAATCCCTTTTCTAGAAACAGACAGATCTTCTAGATGCACGCTGGCGCGATTTGCGCATTGGGCCACATCGCCATCTGGGAGAGTCGGTGAGGTAACGCTGCGAGGTTAAGTGGGATTCGCCTGATTCCTTGTAGCTGTAGAATCTGCGCTACATCAGAGGGTGGATTTTTCCAGATTACAAACTTCCCAGATCACCACGTATGGTTGACTTATTGTAGATTCCCCAGTTTTCAAGAACTGAAACCGGCCTCATTCAAGTTAACGTTCTGTCAACTAAAGATAAATACGTCAAAGCAGATAGCCACAGAAAGGTGACAAATCAGGAAGAGAAGGTGAGGGAGGGCAGTGAGTTTAACGATAAAAGGATGAAGTCGCAGTTGATCGATCCCTTTTTAGGATGTGGCACACGCATTCCAGTTCCATTCAGAATCGCGTGGCTCATTGGAAGCAGTGTGGTCCATATAATGACTTTCGGGGGTCAAGCGATGTACAAGTCACAGACGAATCGGTACCAATTCACCGTCTCCGGAAGATAAGAGTTTAGTTAGCGTGGAAAGGAGACCACTCAATGGACCATGCGCATGGTAAGCTTGCCACTTCTCACTATACCGCCTCCGCCAGAGTGAGTCAGCAGTGCCAAATATGCCGCCATCACATTTGACATTGGGGTTATACCGGTTAGGCTGTATTCGCAATTCGCGGTAGCGTCCACCAGCGACCATTAGCGTCCTGAGCGTGCGGCAGCGTCGACTAGGAAAGTAAGGATATCAGCCTAGCGTCTGCGAGCGTCTGCCAGCGCCTACCACCGTCCACCAGCGACCGGGAGTAGAGAGTATGGGAAAGTAGGAGGCTAGCAAACAGCTGCAACAGGCGTCATGAAATTGCGGCGCGTGACCGCACCATACAACTGCCAAAACACAGAATTATGCAACTTATTGTATGGTGTAGTGCAGTTGCATGGTGCGGTTGCACGCCACAATTTCACGACGCCTATCCCAGCTTTTGCTCTCCTCTACTTCCCCATATCCACTACTCCCGGTCGCTGGTGAACGCTGGTGGACGCTGGTAGACGCTAGATCGGTACCTATACTTCCCTAGTGGCTGACGCTGCCGAAATATCGGAACTCTTGTGGTTGCTGGTGGACGCTGAAGCAAGTATGAACGCAGCGTTAGATAAGCGCTTAAAAAACGGCACTAGAAGAAGTGGCTGACACTGCCGAACTATCGAAACTCCAGTGGTCACTGGTGGACGCTGAAGCAAAGTATGAACGCAGCGTTGAATAAGCGCTAAAATGGCACTAGAAGAATAGCTTAATAACTTAATATGTCCTAAACAAAAAAAAACAGAAACAGAGAAAAAGGACCAAGAAAAGGTCAAATACTCACCGTACTACACTCCTTGTCCACAAGATCGAGACACGTTATAAGACTAAACGGATTTTCATGTTCCCATTTGTTAATCCATGGCTCCTCCTTTACGACAACGTCATCTGTAGACATGGAAACGACAGTTCCTGTTTCTGATGCATCCGCATCGCATTCTGATATCGTGGACGACAATATCTCGACTATTTCATGCACTGGATGATCCTGTGCGTCGTCTAGTCCATCTCGTTCAATATGGCTGACCATATCTATCAACGTATTCTTTACGGCAATCATTTCCATGCGCTCTTTCTCGATCTCCTCGTATTCTATGTCTTCAATCCTCTGCACTATAGACCTCACAGTTCCCCAGACAGTGTTGTGGATAGCCAACTCCTCAGCTGCTCTACGTCGCTCCTTTTCAGCCTCAGCTTCTTGTTGTTTGAGCTTTTCAAGTGCTACATCGATCATTTTTGCCTCTTCTAATGTCTTCTTGGCAAGCGCATCCGCCTGTACAGCGTATCTAGCGCTCATGCCGTACCAATGAGCCAGATCTTTGACGGCGCTGGAAAAAAACTTCATTAAAAACCATATTTATTTATCTGGATCATGGGATTTAAAGACCATGGGTCATTCTCTTAGGCTGCCATACTTTGCGACAGCGTCTACCAGCCTTTGGAGCTCCATTAACGTTTTGAACATCAGCGACTGGGAAAGTATAGCTATCGATCTAGCGACTACCAGCGTTTGCCAGCGTGCAGCGTCGACCAGCGTCTGGGAGAGGAGAGTACGGCCGATATGAGTATATCAGACAACTGGTAGAGTATAGCGCGATAAGAGGGTACCAGCTGTGTGCTACCCTCCTATCGCGCCATAGTCTCCTCTTCCGGACGCTGTAGACCGATATCTATACCTCCCTAGCCCTCGAGACCTGAAGGGCGCTGGCGAACGCTGGGAGACGTTGGTACGCGCTGGTATACTCGAAATCCCAGAGATCGGGTAGGCGTGGTCGCCTGTCAAAACTTAACCTGAAGGTATCCATGCTTCTGGTGAGAAAATTTCATTTTGACACAATTGTTGTCGTGTCTCAGTCCAACATAGAACAAGATGATAGTTGTCCCAGACTGGAATATTCCACGAGTAACCAGTTCCGTGCCATATTCATATGCCACGCCTACTCTGGCTCAGGATAAGGCATGTGGACTAGATCGATATCTATACTTTCCTAGTCGCTGACTTTGCCGAACGCTCGGAAGCGGACGTTACCGCAAACTATGAACGCAGCCTTAGCGCTATTACCGCTACTCAATCGGAACCAAAAATCTGAACACTCACAATCTTTCCATTCTCTGGGCGTCCGCTCGTTTCACCCCTAACGCAAGTTCCATGTCTTTCTCCGCCTTCAAAAGCTTCGTTTTCTCAATCATTTCAACCTCGGAATGGGATGTTTCCTTCAGGAACTAAAAACAAAACGATAGTGTACTGTAATTAGTCCACAAACCTACTTCATAGAAAGACACCAACCTTTTCGAATTGTGCTCTGTCATACAGTTTTCGATTCTTCTCTACCCATCGTCGTTTTTCAAGGACTCGATACTGAGATTTCATTGTCTGAAGTAAAAGTAAGCAAAAATGATCTCATAGCACTCAGTAAGAATAATAGCGATCAATATTTAACCTTGTAGAGGCCAACAAATGCACGTGGACGCCTCAGTGACATTTCCAGTACCCATTCGAAGTTTGTTACATCGAAAATAGTGGCGGGACGACTTCTCTAAAAACTAATCCACGAAGAATACCTTGGCGAAGCTCGATAAAAAGCAACAAGTAGCGCAAAATACAAAAAAAAATGGTACCATGAAAAATTCGATGAATCTAACCTTTACACGTCCAGGTTTGGTAGGTCGAGCGATTTCGGAATTCTCAGAGGACGAGCACATATGGGCCTGCCGTTTTACGGATTTTCGATGCGGTATAGGAGCATCGGATCCTTGACTTGCCACAATGGCTGCCTGAATCGAATCGAAAACATTATTAGTCAATTTCAAAAGTATCAAATTGTTAAGGCGCGCAGGCCTATTGCAGTGATAGTTACAGAGCACAATGCCCACAACTGTTCGCGAAGCAGGTTCCCTCGCCCTTGTTTGGCGATTAAACCAATATGCCATTTCCGAGAAGGAGCGTGCGTCTACCGGGGAGGTGGACCTTCTTCATGTGCTAGAAGGTAGGTCCGTGACTAGAGACCGTTTTCGCAAAAAAAGAGCGCTGGAGTGTTGTAACAGATGGATGTTTCCATGTATTCAGACCTACCATTGAACACGCGACAAGCAGAGTACACACACACACAACACGCCGCATGGCCAGCCACATGCTTAAGGGCAGTTGGCACGATAAATCGTTATACAGATGTAGGATTTACATGCGGCTGGCTTAACAGAATTCCGTGACCTCGAACAGGCGCTCCGTGGCGCCTTTTCCGGGGGTACCCCTATAACACCCTATCGAGCAACAACATTCCGTCCCAAACGCCTTCCTCGTCCGCCCGCCCACAAACAAACGACCGTTCTTGACGCTCGTATTCATTCATTTGCAAATTATGAAGCGAAGGGATTGGTATGAAACGGCCCTGATGCTGCATGCATATACAGGGGGGGGGGGGCAAAAAAAAAGTCATTTTGCCTCCATGACTTTCAAGGCGCTATAAGTTACACAAGTTACACTTTATTGAATTTTTATCGGACATTTTTACTACCATATTAAAGAGCACATTAAATACTATAAGATACTCCGCACAGCCTTCTGGAGGAGCGCCATCGAGAGATTCGGCCGCGGCGAAAGTGAGTGGGTACCGGAGTTGAGCGAGATCGTTGATTTCTCCGCCACTGTAGACCACCCTGTTGAGCTCCGCCCTAACCGAGTAATTGAGGGGGTTTAGTTCAGGACCCCGCGCTTAAATATTCCATCTTTTCCAGGTACTCAACGTTCTTTCATTCCAAGTAGGCGAAAGTTTTTCCAACGCCCTTCGATTAAATGTGTTGTCACCCAATCCTGTAGCAGTGCAAAGTTTCCAAGAAGGTACGGGCGACGACATGAAGATGGGATATTCTCCTCGAGTTGCTCGATGTAGCCACCAGCGCACACCCTCAGTCTGGGGGCACGAAGAAAATATCGGTTCATCCATTCCAAGTACGGCCTGTCCACACCATCAATCCGCGCCTTGGTGAATGGGGTGAAGATGAAGTCCTGGACCGTAGCAACGTTGCCGGAGCTGCTCGATGTTGAGGTCTTGGCAGATCAAGAGTACTGGTCCCCAGGTACCCACGGGTGATTCCATTCAAGAAGTTCCGCAGTTGTTTGGAGGCCACGTGAATTCCAAAGGCGTTCTCCACTCAGGCCGCCTCTGGGGATGACTTCATATTTTGGTGTACATGAAGGTGAATGGCGGCAGCCGACTCCTGCTCATAGAGGAAGATCTTGGGTATCTTCCGCCTTGGTACTCATATCCACTTCCTCTGTCTGGGCTACGAAAACTTCGCTCATATGTGACTCGGCCGGAATGACTTTTTTTGCCCCCCCCCCCTGTATGTTTACACATATGCAGCCGTATCTTCGGTACTGGTGATTGGCAAGATGCCTACGGGAAACTCGTTCGAAATCGATTTTTAAGTCACTGAGAACGGAGGTTTTTTCTTCGCCGGATTTTGACCGTTTCACTCCGTTCCTTCGCCATTTCCCCACTATACAGCGCCCTCTTAGCATTTTAGCCCGAGTGGGAAACCATCGTGCCAACTGCCTTCAACCACAGCTAACGCGTTACTTGTCCACGCTCTCTTCTCTGAGTAGGGCGCCGCTGCTCTCTACAACTCGACTTTGCCCACGGATCAACGCGTTCGCTGTGGGGCCGTACCACAATTCACAACTGCGGACGTGCCCATTTCGCAAACCGCATGGGCCTACCTCAGGGTTACAGCGCACTCCTAAGGGGCCGAACGGCGTAAACATAAACTCTTTCCATAAAACCACCTGCGGAAATAAAACCGCGCAAAACGCGCAAACCTGGATGACCACGACAAGCATAGCCGCAGAACCATACCAGCAGCAACCATTCCCCTTATTTTTTGACAAAATACGGATTCAATTCCGGTAAAAAAAATTGATTGATTCTATTTCCACTCACCGCTCTTAGCACAGTCTCGCGAAGCATTTTCTCTGTCTCCATACCTCGCCTGGCCAGTGTATGCCTCAATTTCGAGAAACGGTACTCAGGAATCTATAACAAACACGTACTTGGTGGTAAGATATATAAAGCCTCACAATCTGAGGCAGTTAAGATAAAAGAACCACCTTGGCCATTAGTTGCTTAGCAGATGATGGACCTTCTTCATCACTTGTTCTAGCACGACGGCGTTTTCTCATCTACAACGGCAACTTTCAGATCTTGGACGCAAAACAGTGCAGAGATGCATACAAAGGCAGACTAGGCCACAGAAACGTACCTCAGTCTTTGATCTCTTGTATGGTCGCACGATCTCTGATGCTGGCTTTGTATCGGCAATCTAGGTATAATTAACTACAAGAGAATTTTAACACTAAATTGGTATCTTTCAACTTACAGAGTCTTTTCGCTTGCGCCATCCTCTAGTAGCTTTTGAGTCTTTCTCGCCACTGACAGTAGACAGAGTTTTTGCCTGGAACAAAATGTATACGCATCCGCTTAGACAGTGTTTGGACTTGGCGATGACGCGCCGCTGTAACGCGGTACTAGTGCAACATTGCTCCAATATTGGCGCGAACGTAGCCGCACGAGAATCATCAGTGCTGCTCATTAACAGAGTGTGAGCCAACTGGAAGGTACGCGTTGCTTAATCACGCTATCCGATATCGATCGGCAGTGGTGGAGGGCAATGCCGACTGATTCCCGTCTGCATCTGCGTTTGCGTCTATAGGATTGGAGCGCTGATACAAATGTAGTGCGTTACAGCGCAGTCAAGCGCGTCAACGCGCAATCGCTAATTCTGAACACTGCCTCAGGCTGCCCCGTGAATATTCAGCACAAATCAGAGAAAAAAGGGAAAATAACAACAGTGACTCTAGAATTAGACATTTTTTGCAACTATCACTGGGAACAGAATCACTTCACTATTACCTGTTTCTTGGTCGTAAAGGACAGCGCTGTTGACGGACGTTTGATTGATGATTCCTAGAAACAGTGATTAGACTCTGTCTAAATGACTGGTCCCTCTAGTTGTACAGTGATGATTCCTGCAAACGATAGGGCACGTGGCACGGCGAGGCGGGGAGCGCAGCCAACGCGGCAACGATGTTCTCTCAGATCCGCTACAACTACAACTGGCGAGAAATCTGTCCTGACAGCGTTCCAAGCCACAACCCAGTCACACGCACTAATGTTTGCAGGGATCATGGCTGTACCCTTGAAAATGTCATTCAACTTTTGTGTACCTGTTTAGATGATGGCGTGGGCGGTTTCGTGATGGGTTCATTTGCCGATTTGCCAATTACTCTGCTGCTCTGAAAGGATATGTAAACAGTAAAAAAAAACAACATTTGAAAAAACACTTTTCAAAATTACCTTAATATTAGGTGAATGTAGTGCAATGCTCTCTTCTTTATTAAAAACAGAAATGGTTGAAAAATCCTGCAATCACAGAATATATTAAAAAAAACAATAACAGCTATTGAATAGCGAGCAGGTACTTGCCTTAGGTGATTGCCAAAACTCTTCGAAAAGCGTACTAATCGTCGTTTTGCCATTGGCCTTTGTGCCAACGCTTGTAGGCTTCCCAACGGCGGCCAGCCCTTGAAAAAGCGCTGATTACGAAAACAGTGGATTTCATTTCAGATCCATTTAGTACTTACTTTCGCTTGTTTTCCAGTTCCAATTTGGTGAGCTTTTTGTGCTTCTTTTTACTGGATTTTGGCGTGGTTGGCTTGACTTTTTCGAAACCTGGAAATGATAACTCTGAGTTCTGAGATCATAAAAAGGTTCGAAATCTTCTAAAACACTGCAATTCACCTTTCCAAGAAATTTGAAGCACTCATCAACGAATCCTTCAGGCATCGGCAACAAGGCAATCAACGAAGCAGATAAAGCGAATGGATTTATTATGTCTACAGGAATCTGATCAATCGACGGCCCACTGTCATATTTGGACCATGCACCTAAGGCAGTCCTTAACACAGAGATCTGTTTCCGTTGTTCGAGGGATAAACTGACATCAGCAAGGCAGTTTGTTAACTGCTCAATGGTCTTCTCCACCTTGATATTACGGTCGTATTTAATACCATCCGGAACGCATCCGTGGCCAAAATTCTTCCACGCCCATTCACCTTGTGTTAAGAAACTTGAATTCTTCATGGCGTTCACCTTTACATCGGTGGCCAGATAGGCGTCAATTTTATTCATATCGTCCATCCAATGTGATAACAGTTCCGGTAGCGAACGGTCCACATGGAATACTCTGTTTCGCTTCATTTTCAGAAGTGTCGCCATGGTTGTTATATCTGGATGATAGATATCCTTTGGAATAAGATCCATACGTGGATGACGAAGAATCTTCTTGACAGCCTTGAAAAACACTTTTGGGGGATAGAGACAGAACGGTGGACGTTCCACATCTTCAAGTGCTTCGAGTAGACGAACTAGTAGGAACAGTTGACGACGAGAGAAGCAAGGATAGATATACCAGGCAAGTGTCCCACGAATCATCATGAATGTCCACCACATTTTGATAGCTTGTAATTTCGGATCCATGTCATCAACCCCGACAAGATCCGGGATTCGCATACAAAGGGCAAGTTGACAGCCGATTCTTGATTCTGTGGTGGCATCAATTGGTTTCAACCATTTTCGCCAAGGTTTTCCAACCCTTGGTAGGTTTGTCATTCCCAAAAATATATACAGCGGAGCCAAGGCTTTACGACTGAGAAGTTCTGTAGAGTTTCTTTGCATACGAAGTTTCATCAATCGATCCCAGATAGGACCTGATGGGTCGGATGACGCTGCCGTGACTTTTTCTGGATTCGTGAAAATGCTCAGGTCATATTCTCCATCCATATTTGAAATCAATCTATTCAGATCTTTCATAGTAATCGTACAGCGATCCACTCCACCACCAAATACTCGCTGGAGTAGGGTGGCAAATTGAGTTACCATATAGGAGGACAGTAAAAGATGAGGCATATGCTGATGAGCAAAACATCTCCATTTCTTTGACACTTCCACGAACGAACTAGAACATTGCAACGGCAGTCTTGGATCCTTCACATATACGATTTCAGTAAAGCGATTGGCATCGCTCGAGAAAGCCTTCTCGGTGAGGAGTTCTGGCCGTTCTTCTACTTTCATCCTCTTCGCAGGCTGTGTAGATTCTTCCTCATTCTTTCTTTTTCGCGACAATCTGATGGTTGATAATCGAAGCACTTCCACATCTCTGCGGGGTACTGGCGTAACAGTACTACTGCTTTTGTTAACTTTGCCGGATATAGGTTCATTCTCAGATGATTCCTTCTGCGACTGGGTTGCTAATGCATACTGATCCAGCTCCTGAACAAGCGATAGCTGCTGCTTAGCATCAACCACAGATGAGTCCACTTCCGCAGGAACATCCGGGATCCCTTTCGAATCGAAAAAGTACACTTCACGATTCACCATTTCGACATCTCGAGCCGTAATCGAACAGATGGTTTCAGAAGTGTTTGGAATAGGGTGGGCATAAACTCTCTCCTTGGAGTCACCTGTCCTCTCGCAGAGTGCAGTAAAATCGTAGACGGTGAATTTTGTATCATCTTCACGAGCAATTGAATGGATATAACTGAATGGCTCCGCAATCGGTTTCTTCGAACGTTTCACTCTCATCGTAAGCGATCTAAGTATAGTACTTTCTTCTCGAGGGATAGGTAACACCATTTCGGAGCATTGATGGCTATCCTCGCGTATATGAACTGACTCTGTTTCAACTGTACTAAAAGCAGCTAGACACATCCGTGGAATAGTAATAACAGCATTGGACGCGGCTGTCAATCCTGTACGCTTGCGTTTCACATTCAATTTCAGTATATTGGTGATAGTACATTCCATGCGTGGTATAGGCATAGCTCCCATGCCCGTTTCTGAGAATCCTTGTCGATGCCGATGAAGATTCACATCAATTATATTCAGAATGGTGCTCTCAACACGTGGGAGAGGTACAGAGTAATCAGCCATTTCTTGGAAACCTTCTCGTGTTTGATCTGTTTCCAATTCGCAGACGCTTAGAACAGATTTGTCTAGGCGAGGAACGGGAAGAACGATATCTCTGCTGGCCGAGGCTCCAACACGCTTCCGTCGAATTCTTAGATGAGTAGATTTATAATATGTCACATCTGATACTGGCAGTGGAAGAGAGATCTCCGCCACCATTGAAGGTTCAACTGCTGTGAATCCCTGGCCTCCTTCAATATGCGAGAAAGATGCCTCTTTCGTCCGAGGGATCGGCAGTTTCACTGAGGTAGAAAGATAGGCGTCAGCACGTTCCCGCTCAATGTTAGACTGACGGGAGTGCAGTACGGTACAGTCGAACCGCGGATGTGGAAGCACCATCTCTGACGAACATGTGGACCTTCGTAGGAACCATTCAGGAGCACTGAATGCTACATTGAGTGAGGAGGTATTTAATAAAGCGGTAGTTTTACGCGGTACATTGATGGTAGCTCTTGCTGATAGTGCATCATCTTCTTGTACATATGATACCGAAAGATCGGCTACTTCCGTGCCAAAGATTGCCGTTCTTGGAATTGGTACAGAAGTTTGGTATTCCTCAGAAGCTTCGCCTTTCCGTAGATCGATCTCCACAGGAGCAGAGAGCGTACTCATGGAGTCTTGCTCATGTGAAAATTGGTAGATCGGCATGATTCCTTCAGTATTTGCTTGAGTTGCATGTTGACTTCGGAGCACTAGTGCTGTTGGTGCCGCGAAGCCAGAGAAATGGCAGAGGTCTTGCCGAAACTGGAGTTCTTCCCGGAGCACGACTGCATTTTCCAAACATGGCTGACGTTTCAGTTCGCGATGCTCAGGTCTGGTCGACACAAGGCTGAACTTTTGCGATGCAAAAGTACGCTGATAAATCCAGCGGCGGCTTTCTACGCTTTCAGCAGCTGGATTCTTTGTGAATCTGTACGAAGGAGTTCTGATTACGCTCAACTGGTCACCATCAGAAATACGCTGCAACATCTTCCAAACAAATTTGGCCTTCTTCTTCTTCGGCTTCCTCGAGAACTCGAAATTGTCCGAGCAGACTTGCTCAGTTGGAGGTAGACGACGCCGTTCAGCCTCTTCTCGCTCTTTACGGCACGATATAGCACATTCGTACAGGTACTTCCATTCCTCATGATCGCAGAGGTATTCGGACCTAGTAGTACATCGCTGACATATACACATGTCCAGGATAGCAATCTTTGACTTATCACACATCAGTGGTGGCAAAATGGTATCGAGAGCATAGCTTCGAACCGGTACATGCTGCTTTAGGCCACTTGGAACTTCTCCACCGCATGAGTGACCGTCATCGAAGGAGCACTACCGGCAACTGTGGGGCTGTACAATGTGTCTCCAAGAGTGTCCCTCACAATTGTGTCAAGTTCTTCTTGTAGGCTTGAATACAAGTTCTCTGCAGCCGCTACGCTAGCAGACTGAGCACTTCCTGGTGGATATCTCGGCGTTAGTGAATTTGTATTTGGCAAAGGAAGGCGCCAGGGATCATTCCCAAGTTCAGCTTCATAAAACGGTTGTACGGCCGGTTCCATTCTCATCCACTCTGTAGGTCCAAAATGAACCTGTTCGCTTTGCAATGGCTCTGACGACAACTGCTTTGGCGGAATTTCTACAGCTCCAGCTCTGGAAGCCAATTTTGGTTGCGTAATCTTGGCTGGGGTTGTTGGTTCACAACTGTCACTATGACGAGAGAATTCTGATTCGGGCATTGCGGCTAAGTAACGTAATGCATCATACTGGTCATCAGGCGAGGCTTGTTCGCTCCTTGACATTTCTTCCTGAAGAGCCAATGCTGCCAGTTCTGATTCCCTTGCCGAAACAAAGGATGTCGTCTGGAAAGCATTCGAACTTTCGACAGAAATGGGCGGTTTTTCAAAGCGAATCTCCGCGAAGCTATCAGCAGCGATTGCGACATCCTCCATCAAATCTTCGAAAACGGAGTCGTCTTCTGGTTGCTGCTCTAGTGCACTATCAGCAACCACCTCTACTGCTTCTTCTATAAGTGCAGACGTAGATCTCCACCTTTTTAATGGCCAAGTGTGTTTTGCTTTCGCTTTGTGAGTTGAAGACTTCGGCATCCAACAAAACGAAAAGCTCACAGAAACTTCTTCAGCTTTCCTCGCGACGGGTTGTACAGGTAGATCCAGTTTGGTCAAGCGTTCTTCATGAATTACTCGAGACAAGCTCTTGTTTCCAATTAAATGACTGGGTGGCGATCGACTTCCTCTACCGAGATTAACCTTCTCGCTGGAAGACTGACTTCTAAGATGTTCAGCAGCTGCTTCACTGACTTTGTGGTGACTGGGTTTCACTACTGGTTCGACTGGACGAGCAGTTTCCCGTTGTTTGGTCTCACTGGTATTTCGACTTGCACTACTTTCTCCACCGCTTCGATTACCGCTAGATTTCTTGGGAATAACAAATCTTGATGAAGTTCCTTGCTGAACATCCGGCTTGAATGTAGACCGTGCCAGCCATGGCATCGCCTCTAATTTGGCTCTTTCAACCGCGGCCTTTTTCTCTGCCTCGGAAGGCTCCTTGGCAGCTCGTAAAGCATCCTTGTACTTTTGTATTTCTCGAGATTTCCTTATCCCTCGCAGGAGTTCCGTATCCCTCTTGCGCGTAGGTCCCTTTCTTCGACCTCTTCCTTTCTCTTTGCTTCTGAAGTCGTCCAATTCTTCGTAATGCCGGAAAACACACTTCCCTGCACGGAAGAACAGTTTTGAAAAGATATCTGTTCCTAGCAATTTTGAAGCGAAGAGTTCTCTGTTGGGACTAGTATCTTCTGATATATGATGTTGCATCAGATCTTGGATTACAACGTCCAATGAAGCTGGCGACAATGGTCTTTTATGGAATTTAGCTTCTTCTGGGGGTAGCTTACTCCGTTCGTCTTCAATTATCTCAGCGATTTGCTTCGCCAGCACTTCACGCGACAGCTCAAGTTTCGATAACCCAGACTTCTGTGTATTTTCCTTCAATTCCTTCGGCGGCCTCGACGGTAATGAGGACTTCCTGCTCTTCTTCTTTCCCGATGATGAACGCGGTGAATGATATTCATCTGGAGAACGGGATTTCTTTCGAGATACGACAGGTAACGATGGAAGTGAAGAGGATAGATGGGCATGAGACGTAGAAGGAGCCTGTATAGAGTCTTCCTTTGCGGAATCTTCAGAAGATGAATCCGAGCCGAACAGCATTCTGTTCGTTTTTCGCTGTGGTTTCTTCACATGTTCTGTTATCTTTGCCTTGCTATAGCTTCGATCATCCTCGTCTTCATCGAACTTTTTCGTATGTATCGGCTCTGGAGGCGGAGGCGATTGCGAAAGACGGTCTGACTCCTTCTTGGCTTCTTTTTGCTCCATTCTTTTCGGCGACGGCTTCACGGGTATGACATCTACCTTTGCAGTTAATACCTTTTCTATAGCAGAAGTTGACTGCTCCTCACTCGGTTTGTACTTTGCTGACGATGCTTCGAATATTGCTGATTTCAAACCCAAAGATTCTGGCCTGATCTTCAAGGGCGTCCCTCCGAGCATTGGCGGAGTCTCATCATCCTTTCTCCACCATTCTTCCTCGTCTGAAAGTGGCTCTGGAGTGATAACAAAAGGCGATATATTTCCATAGTTCTCATTAGAGATTGTCCGATCGACGAGCAGGTTTTGCAGGAGCTCCGATCTCCACAGTTTTCCTCAGAATCGTATCACTTTCAGGAAGTGGCTTTCTTGGAACAACCTTACCAGTGAATACTGTGTTCACTTTGACCGTTGACTGGAGTTGTTCTCCTGACTGAGAAGGAAGAATGGAATTCAGCTGTGTTTTTGAGAGAAGTTTTTCCGCGGATTTTCCTTGAACAAGCAGATCGGAAGGTGGGAGTGAAACCTTCGCAGGTAGGGCAGGCTGACCATATATCGTATCTGACGACGACGAGAACACGGCATTCGTCTTGTCATTCCGAGAAATTGATCCCACGCTGACAGTTCCTTCATTGAAACCAGACGAAAGCAAATTGCTGGCTTCGTTCGATAACCTTGATTTATCAAACAAGGCTTCTACACGAGTTGCAGGGCTGCCTACTGAAAGCGGATCACTGCGAGCAACTGAAGCCGGAACACCAATAGAGACCGGTTCGCTACGGTCAAACGACGACGGTGCACCAACGGATAAAGGCTTCGCTGTCGTTGGAGTCGAAGTAGACATTGAATCGAATTCCGCAATAACATCGTCAGACAGAAGATAGCCCAGATCGTTCATAGCATCAGCTGACTGTAAGACACTCGACTTCGACACAGAAGGAGCAACAGCAGGAGATATTGGATGCAAATCAGGATGTGATTTAACTTGAAATCGATCGACAGAAGTATTCGGTTGAACTGGCGTAATATCGTCCAAAAATTCGCTGAACAACTCGGAACTCATTCTACGTTCAGGTATTTTGGCACTAGGCTCTCGAATCCTAGCGTTTGCAGCAAATGCCGCGACAAGTTCATCGACACTGAACTTTCCATCATGGCTATATTGTGCCTGTCGTTTCAGGCCCAGTCTCTTCATCAGCAAATCTCCCAACGGTCCAATACATTTCTCCTTCTCCATTTCATCCAGCTCATGTAAAGTGCGTTCATAGTCTTCTTTGCCAATCCGATGATGTTTCATGGCTAGGATTATATCGAATCGGAAATGCTGACAATTGACGATGCTTTTTTCGATAGGCGAATCCTCAATCCTCAGCTCACTGAGGTCGTTCTGAACGAACTCCTTCGGATAGAAAATGCTCGGTATTAGCGAACTTGATTCGTCGTCTCCAGTTAAGCCTGGTGAACAAGAGTTTGGTGAAGTTCGCGCCGGAACAGTCGCCTCTGAATCATTACGTGGAGGAGGAGGACATTGAGTGATATCAAACGTTCTCAGAGAGCCATCGATCATTGGGTCGATCATTGGTCCACCAGGAATAGCCGTAGTCATCATGCCAGGGTATTCACCCTGAACAATGTCCAACGTTTCACCAGATGCCATCGGGTCACTGTTCTGGAGAAGTTCCACCATAGCACCTGTACTCGACGATCCACTCATATCCAGCATCCCAGTTGCGAAATTGGACGCGGACTGTGGGTCCTGATGTGCAATATCTGAGCCAAGCTGGGGAATAACATTAGCATCAACATCGCAACTTCTCGGCATCTGATGAGCTTGCATTGAACCTGGCGTAAGTTGCGCACTCTGCATGCCGCATGCAGGTTGAGTGGTGTAGGTAGGGATCAACTGGCTGTACTGTCCAGCATACTGAGCAGAATTTTCGTATACTTGTCGTCGAACCGGTTGTTGTTGTTGCTGCTCAAAATGGTGCTGATGTTGTTGCTGCTGTAGTTGTGCAGGCTGGCTAAGATTCTGTTGTAGCGTGTAGCTGAGTGACTGGTTTTGTTGTTGTTGTGACTGATCGGCCTGCTGCTGCTGAGCATAAGGTGAACGCTGTGTATACGACGTATGACTAAAGTTCGAATCTTGCGAATAAGATGATTGTTGCTGAGAGCCGGATTGAACAGGATAGCTTTGTTGAACATAACTGTATGGCTGCGAGAAAGCAGAACCTTTCTGAACCTCAACGGATGACTGAGGATATTGAGGTTGTTGTGTGTGCACAGCAGGTGTCGGATATTGTACCGCTGGATTGGCAACGAAAGAGACTTGCTGCTGACTTCCAGAGGCCATTTGCTGACCTCCAGTGTTCATCTGTTGAGTGAACTGTGACTGCTGACCGTAGGAGGACTGCTGCACAAATTGTCCTTGCTGGCCATAAACATCCATTGAACTGCCTTCGGACCACTGATATTGTATGCCCTGCTGGGAGTACATCTCAGCCGTTGTAGAGCCCATCTGTGCTCCCATGTTCTGTGACTGCACATACGGAACACTGACTGATTCGGGTTGAGCGAATGGAACAGGGGTCACCATTTCGCGTGACTGGGGGTAAACGTGAGAAGACTGCTCGTATGGCCGTGTACTCATTGCACGCTGCTGAGTCTGAGGTACCGCTGCTACGAGTTGACGGCTTTGGGTTGTTGGGTAGGGTGTCTTCAATTGACGGGCCTGAGGTTGTACCGGAGTGAACTGAGACAGTGGAGGTAGTGAAGAAACCAAAGGGCTACGCTCAACTTGACTGTTGCTGGTTCCAACTTGATGTGGCGCCCATCCGGGTAGAGGTGTGGCGCTCATCATCTCACGGTGATCATGTACTGGAGTCGTTAACTGCCTCTGCAATGGTGTTACAGATGCGGACATCATACTTCTGTTCTGTACATGAACTGGTTGTCCTTGCATTCCCATATTTGATTTAGTTTGATGTTGTTGCCATCCAGGAATTGGAGTCGCAGTCATTTGCCGACCTTGAAGTGTCATCGAATGCTGCCCTTGAACTTGAGTCTGTGTGGTTACGACAGGTTTCCGACGAGCTCGAGGTTTCTTCGTTGGTGTGGCGAACGGTGAAGCTTGCGCCGATGAATCAAGGTTTCCTCCTATCATAGGGGTTGATGTCATCATCCGTCTATCTGCGATGATATTGCCTTGCATTCCAGATGAACTCGTCATTTGTTGGTAGTGTTGGCTATGTACGCTTGACATGCCACTATACGACTGTCCACTTTCCATTCCAGGAATCGGCGTTGCCATGGGTCTGTGTTGCGTCATGGGTGTTTGGGATGGCCGATTTTCAGCACGAGGAACTGGTGTTGATAGACTTGACTGCAGGACAGGACACTGTCGGATTTCCAGCGGTGGAAGTGGTGTGGCCATTGCAGAACGCATTTCAGATGGGGTGTTGGAATGGTGTGACCAGCTTGGCAATGGTGTTGCTGTCATTCGTCTATCAATATATTGCGCAGTGCCCATTGGTTGAGACATACTTCCGTGTAGATGATTCATTGTACTTCGCTGCATGCACGTTGCAGACTCCATACCTGCTACTGTCATATTTTGATTCATACCAAGATGTTCATTTCGCATTCCAGGTTGAGAGACTCGTTGAGAATAAGCGCTATTTACAGCGGGAGAATACGCAACTACAGATGATGTGCCCGATGCCATACCGGACGGCTCAACGAATTGAGCACCGGTACCGGTGTAAGAACCGGCAACGGAATGGGTTCCACTTCCAGTGTTGTAATATTCCGTTGAAGAGCCTCCTTGGATAAGATCTTGAATACCAACGCTCGACAAGTCGTACGGAAACGCTGGCGATGCTTCCACTCTTCTATTAACCACATCCGCCAGGTACTTTCTGCATGCACCTTCATAAAGTGAATGGAATTTGAGCAATCGTACAAACAGGTGACCGGGCAGATCGGAGGGTACAGAGGGGAAAAGTGAAAAGCTCAAAGTCTGATTAACTCCTCCTTGTCGTTTGATTCGAAGATTTTTTAAACGTTGAAATTCTCGCTTGTACTCTTCAAGATCGCATCCAGCAGAGTAGCAGTCGAGTAGAAGACGTGCAAAGTCAGGATGTGTATCCGCAATATCCTCCACAGTATTCGCACCAAGTACAGCGTCAACGTTTACAGGATAACTGCCAGACGATTGTGAAGTTGAGGACATATCAGCAGATGAGCCTTGTTGAGATCCATCCATTCCTCCTCCATTATTATGGGAGACAACTCGTCCATGATGGCGGAAGCGCCGCAATGGTGTGTTTGTGCCGGAACGTGGACTGCGGAACTTCAATGAAAGTACTGGCGATTGTAGTTGTCCTTCAGGGTTGTCGACAACTACTTCTACATCATACGTGAGCTCTTCTACTTTACACTCATGTGAACAAGACAAAAGGACTCGTCTTGATTGAGTATTCCGTCTTCCATTGCATTTGGATAGTTTCTTAAGAAGATGCATCCATGACAATACTTTCATATAGTACAGTTCAACAATCGTGCTCAGGAATAGCAGTTGTGGCAGTGAGTCCATTAGAAAGTGAATCCAGCATAGTACGACCACCAGGAACACGGCTTCTGCAACAGCGTACGTCAGTTTTTGTTAACCGTTAAACAAGTCAAAGCACACCCTTTTTCATTTTTTCCTTAGATCAAAAATTGACGCAAGCTGTTTGCTTCGGCTTGTGAATTCCTTAGCGCCGATTGACTCCGCATCACGGATGAGAAGTCAGTCGATGAAAATACCACGAAAGTAAAAGTAATGTCAAACAATATGAATTGTACAAACCTTTCAGAGTTAGTACTCCATTACGCTGCAGTTCTTGAAGCTTGGCAATTCTTTCCATAAGTTCATCAGCTCCTAAAAAATATTATGTCAATTACCATTTAATACTGCGAATTTAGAAAAGTTTGCGCTTACTAAACAACGAACTCACTTTCAACATGACTGCGTAAATCTTCAGTTTCTTTCTTCGTCAAACACTGCTGAGCGCGAGTCAACAACTTTTCGAGAGGTGGACGCTGAGCAAGGATTTGACTGGCTTTACGTTTTTCCATAGTCATGTTCTGAAACAGTCGTAGGTCAAAGACGTATGCTAACCAGTGAAGAGAGTGTGCGTTACCACCCAGTCGCGCCATCGCGCACAAGCAGGGTTCAGTAACTAGCCGTAGGCGGCCACAAGCACAGAGTGAGCAGGTCGACTAGGGAGACGCAGACAAAGCGATAGTCATCGCGTCACAACACTGCTACGTCTAGAGGGTTGGGTTGGGTCCTTGTGCGAATGTTGCGTACGTCAACCCAGCTACAACGCCTATTGCCACATCTGCCGCGACACGGAAGTAACGCTTCACCCCGGATGGTAGGTCCAAGAGGCATTAGAATCGGGAGGTACACTGAGTGATGTGCTTCCGGACGGTACTTACGAATTCGCCTCCCTTATCTGCTACAGACCTCCATGAACAGAGAGCCAGAGGTTTCCCAGGAAAGCATGCTCCCACAAAATACGAGTATCTGGCGTAGGACACTTCTAGTGTGGCACCGTAGCTCAGGCGTTATATGGCAGACCACAAGTGTAACCTAACGCATATTCCAATCAGCTTTACGCCCGAAATTCTTAGTGAGTAAGAGCATGGTCCCTTATCTCCGTAACTTGTTGAAATACGATCACAGCAAATAATAATGAAAGACGAATTCGTAATCATTCTCCAAAAACCAGATGGTATACCTCACACTTCAGGCAAACGAGCCATAGTTTTCAAAACAATGCTTACCATCATGAATCTAAAGAATTCTGAGATCTTGTCATGTTCCACTATAGCACGACGGTACGCTTTTCGAGTTTTGAGAATTCGATAGTACCTGAAGCAAAGGTATGAGGAGGATAACAACTCAATTATCGACTTCACAGTCATGTTAGCTGCTGAAGAGGGGCATGGTCAGGAGAGACACGTTTGGCGTGGCGCCAAACCCGTCCTGCACTACTTGTTGAAGTCAGTAAGGTACATCAAATGGAGGAAAACGACTGATACGGTCTCGTCGCTTGTTCACTTCAACACTGGTGTAAAACGGATCTGGCGCAGTGCCAAACCCATCCCGCCTGACAGGCCCCTTCATCGGCAGCTAACAAGACTGTACGAAGCAACATGCTTACTTTTCAATGCGTGCAAACTTGATATCATTCTCAAGGTCTTCGACTCTGTCGGACGATTCCTGAATCATAAGACGACTAATCAGTTGCTCTGCATCGTTGTACCACTCCTGGAATTGCAAATTTGATAATGTTGAAAAGGCGATGAGATGCCGGAAAAAATAAGACACCAAACATACCCATTCAAAATCGCCTCGTGCTGCATTATATGCTAACATATCCATATCACTTTGTCGCACTTTAGGTCTGCCGACATAATCGTTAGTGTACAGTGCTAAATCTGGCTTCGAGTTACGTAGCTCTCGAATCGTCTCAATCGGACAGAGTTCGGACAACTGCAACAAATTCTCATATTACTACTTTGCTCTTTCGGATTGTAAATCCTTCAAGCCGCCACATTTGGCTTTCCACCTCAACAATTTGGGCCCAGCGAGCCCAAATTAGGTTGTAGATGCAGAAAGGGGATTGTACGCATGAAAGAGGGCTCGAGCATGAAAGAAGTTTGGTAAATCTTATAGGTTGCTTCTTAGGCAGCGTTCAGACTTCGCGACGGCAGCGCTTTGGTCGCGATTTGACGATTAATGCGCATGCTTTCGGTTGCATCGATCGCGTCAAGCGGACGACCAAAGCGCCGCCGTCGCGAAGTCTGAACGCTGCCTTAGCGGGATACACGAAAACTGGAATTCTTTTAGTATCAGGTTGGATCACCTACTTCAATACAAACCCATCCCATAGAAACTGCGGAAACATTGGTCATTTAATGGAAACTCTGATGCTACCTGGTTTATAGCGACTCGGTAAAATAGGGACGAAATGATGGTAAAAGTATCGATCGGGCGAACTGACAGAATACACGGCTAGGGGAAATAGAAGGATAATGCGCCATGGAAGTAAACTCTAGTTCGCTGCGGACGGTGCGGTTGGGCGTGTCAGGCAGTATAGTAAGTCACCCCGTCAAAGCCGTTCTCTGCCTTCTTGTTGAAGCGCGCATGCGACAAAAAGTGGTAGAAAAGGAGTAAAACGAAGATGTGATACAGTCATGTCATTTGCTCCCTTCAACAACTAGTACAGAACGGTTTTGGCACCGCGCCAAAAAGAAAACCCGCCGGACACGCCCAACCATCCGCGGACAACACCATAAGAGGGAACCAATCGATTCTCCGCTCTGTCAGAGCGATAATTATACATTCAAACTGCGCGGCCTCTCTGATACTTCCCCACCGCAAAGTATGAACACATCTTAACTGGCAAACAGATAGCATACCTCATGGAGTCGCCTTTCAGCAGCCTTCGTCATTCGGGCCATTCGCTTCTGGAATTCCTTCAGACGACGTGCCTTCTTCGATACTAACTTAGCCCGCTTTCTCCTGCGTACTGCTGAGCCAAAAGGAGTGGAAGACTGCTTAACAGGTTCCTGTTTCGGTTCTTCGGAATCAGAACCAGTGCAGTCGTCCTGCAATGAGGTATCGTAGGAGAATAACATAGCTTCAACAATGTTGTTCCCCTTAAACCAACGAATTATGTTATGAACTGCTCGTACCGATGAGTCTTCCTTTTCCAATCCATGCAGCGAATCATGAGCGTCATCAACAGATGTTTGGTCAGTCTCCATTGGTTCTACTTCATCCTCGCTACCGGAATCATCTTCCGTTGAAGAACTATCTGCTTGAACTCTCCGGTACCGGGATGCTCGCCCATTCTTTTCTAATGTGGACTTCCGGAGGCCACATCTTATCTTTTTCTGCAATAAAGTATTACTTTACAAGTGTGCAAATGCATCCCATTTGAAATAACTTACTTTGGTAGCTCTCATAAAAGCAACGGATGGGCGTAGAGACTTGCGTAACGATTTTGGTTCGACCTTGCTCTAAAAAGAAAAATCGAGAAAGGAAGGTTCACATCGTTCACAAAACCACCACAACTGCATTTGGTGTAGCAGTATAGCTCAAGTAGGATGAAAGAAACAATATGCAACACAATAGCAAACGAAACATACCGATTTACTGGGAGATGCTGAATGGTTGTTAGGTTCATCCTCCTCACTATCGTTTTCCGGCTCAAGTCCAGTTGAATAAGCATCATCCGGAGCCTAAACTTTCTCACATTTAAAACATTTTATCTTGTTAGTTTGTGTTTATATGATATCGTTTACTTCTGAGGGAACTAAACTCATTTACACATTCGATCGTGAACGGAATCGGCGCTTGACGCCGAGGGATGCAGTGGCCATGATTATCGATTAGAGCAGTGGCGCCACATAAGGCCGCGTTCATACTTCGTGACAAGGGAGAACTGGAGAAGAAGCGAGAAAGTGCTAGATGAGAATCGAACGATTCCATCCATTGTAAGGGACGAAGACCAGATAGACTGATTCCAGTCCTTTGGCGCGCACTGTAAGATTATCGGAATCGATGCTTATGATTTTCTTTGCGCTCACCCCCCCCCCTCCAATTCACACAATCCACGATTCTCAGTATTGTGAAGTATGACCGCAGTCGTAAGATAGGTATAGGTCTGGACGCTTTCTTTCTCGTACTCAATTCGGTGATCAAAAAGAGAACTAATCTGAAAGGTCGTGTCCTGGGTACATAGACAGATAAAATAGCTTATTTACAACAAAACTGACTTTAGAGAACGAAGAACACGATTACTGAGCTATTACCTACCTTCTTGTCCATGTCGTAGTCCGAAGGATCACAAGAGTCGTCGCTCAAGGCTAGATCGACTAATTCATACATCTCCGACTGCTCGCTACATTGGGGTCGCTTAACCAGATCAGCTATACATACTAAGGATAATCAAAAATCAACAAGCAAAAAAGGCATAATCAGAGAAACCCAAAGAGCGACTACCTCATCGTTTAGATTCAGACGAAACAAGTAGCTTTGCAATATGGCATCTACTTTATTTCCGAGATCATCATCATGAGGATCTAACTTTTCCTTACTTTCTTTGTAGGCGTCCATTGCCACTATAAGGTAAAAGAATAAGTCGGATAATGTCAGAATAAATTATCATCAAATAACCCAACCTAAGCGATAAAAGTCTGGCGTTGTAGTTGTAGGGGACAAGAGACAGCGGGAGACAATTCCCTTTTCCCCTCCCGAGAGCGTGTGCCACAAGTAGCTAGAAGGGAAGTTATCCCAAGTGACCGGCCGCTCTCTACCGTTAACCTTGCCGATGCCCTCGTCTATCTAAGTCTCGCCCCTCTGCATCTCTACCCCTCTGGCGCAAACTCTGAGTGACTATAGTGCAGCAGAGTATAATCGATAGCATTTTCGCGCGCGGCACTTTCCCTCTCACGAAGACCGTCTTTGTGCAAGTGCGGGAATTTGAATGCAGGGATGCGGAGCGGAGCTAGAAGCACAGAGTCGATGGATACGGTAGTTATAGTGACAGAGAGCCAGAAAGCCCACCCATGGGGCATCTTTCCTTCCACCATCTGACCTCCAGGCTGATCCTTAAAAAAGCGCAAACGACCAGATTCTGCACAAGGACTTGGAGCGCCGAAAAGCGGATCTAAGCGTCTTCGGGTCGCCCCTCAACTACAATAAAACCAAGGAACAATAGCGGAAACAATACTTACTCAACAAGTAGGTAATGCGATCGTTCTGACAATTATATCCAAGTGATCCGTCTGCAAGCATTGCTCGCTTCAATTCCTCCCTGAAAAATATTTCTTCAGAAACTCAAACCTAATCCTGTTTTTCGTGTATGTATGCTGGAGCAAAACGACTATTCTAACAATTCGGCCGCGTTCGTACTGTAGTACTTTAGCGTTTCAGTGGCGCGATCCGAGACTCGCGAAACGACCGCAGTCCACACAGTCCACTGCTAACAAGTGGACCGCTGAGATTATGAACTGAGCAAATCTCATCGAATAAACATTTCAGTCAGCAATATTCCAGCAGTCGTCACTTGCTCTAACTCAGAAACTCTTCAGAAAGCCATCATACTTTTACGGAGATGTCCCTGGCGAACCTTTTCTGAGGTAACCCCTGTACCTATTATGCAAGTCCGCTATGTCATCCTCTCTCTTTCTATCCCTTCTTTTCAGGAACTCGAGTAGGCTGCTAATGTAATTACTACTGGACTACTGCTAATCGAAATTTCCTATCAAACAGAAATAGTGGCAGTCCAACGCCTGCCAGTGGAGCGCGGTAGTTACACTCCCTATCCCTGAGCCAGAGCAGGCGTAGCATTTCAACATGGCACGGAACTGGTTACTCGTGGAATATCCCAATCTGGGACAACTGTCATCTGGTTCTGTGGGAAATATTTCAAGAAGCACAGATACCTTCGGGTTAAGTTGAAGAATGCAGCCCCGCCTACCCGACCTTAGGGATCTCGAGTATAACTTAACACACACATCTGATAATCATTCACTGCACACTACAATCAGCGCCCGTCCTGCCGCTGAAGAGAATTTTCAGGAAATACGACCCCTCATCCCCTCATCTGGCGACCGCTCCACCCCACCCCTTCCCTCCTTCCCCATCCTACCCATCACTTTCTTAGATTTCTACCAGATTTTCCCATTTTCCTGATAGCTTTTCCACAAGCGATTTTCTGAAAAATTTCTGGACTACACAAAACTTTCCAGTTTGGCGGGGTGGGGAATGCAGCACCACATCTGAAACGGGTAAAACCACGCCACAAAAAGTCAGACCAAAAAGATTTTACTGCAACGCCGCAAATTTCCTTCAAAGACAAGTGCGGAGCTCATTATAGCGTCCGTGAACCAAGAACAAACACCTACCGAAATTCTCCTCATGTCGAATACGACCCCCCCCCCGTTGGGATTTCCCCAGCGTACGACGTGGTCTCAGTACAATGCGTACTCGAACAACACATGTAATTCCTCACTTGATGAAGAGCTAGAGGTGTAGGTTGTGGCGCAAGCCATAATTCACAGCGATTATGCGCATTTTTCAGACGGCTTGACTAACGCGGAATTAGACCTTAAGGGACCAACCCTACTGCGCATAAATTTTCACCAAATCTGTAGGCATCCGCTATTAAAAAAAAGACCCACTTTTTGAATAAACGAATGCTCTCGAGCGATTTTAGGCACATACCAATTCAACAGTTTCAAAGCGAATTGGCCGATTGGACCGCGGATGAAGAAACGATCGTAATATTCCTGCACTTGACTAATAGATCGTTCCGTTTCCATTAATCGTGTTACCTCACCCCTACAAAAAGAGATAAGACAAGATTACTGATTATGGACAGAAAGAACGCACCAGTTGCCTAGCTTGAACCTATAAGCAGCAGCTAGAAGCTTTCGTTCTTCAACAGCTCCCCAGCTTCCTTTCACATCGAAAGTTCTGCCACCAAGAGGATCGCATATTTCGTAGTTGTGTCCTCGAACATGTTGACCCGCTTCACATCCGTAAGAGAAACACTGAAAATTTATACTTCTCATTTCTATGATGCCAACGAAATCTTTTCTTTGATGGCCTGGTATTTCATTTAGAACGTCGTTCCCAGAACCTTAAACGTGGACTGAGGTTTGGCAGTTGTTTCGCTTACGCCGCCAAACAATTCTCTAACTATTCGGCCGGAAAGTCAGAGGAACAACCAAAACTTCCTGCACACATTAGATGGGTCCCATCCTTTGAGTGCCTTCACTTTATACTAGGAAATGTTTTGGAAACGAGATTTGAACACAATTTTGTAGCGTCACCTCTTTTCTCCTGCCGTATCATGACAGTTCTTCCAGAACGGGAAAACTCGTCCGGATCACGAAAACACGACAACCGTGAATGAAGGCTCGTCGGAAGCCGTTATCACTGACTTTGGTGATCAGCGGGTGCATCCTATAGATCAACGAAAGACACATTCTAGCAGTTCGGCGGAAGGGGGGGGGGGCATTTTGCACTACTGCTCATCGACCTGTTGACCTATCTAGGCAGCCTCTTCTCGAGTTGACAGGTCTTAACATGATGGCTTAACGGCCTTGCTCCAGCTTCACAAGTGTTCACAGGTTTTGCCAGAGTGAGACTTGTGAACCGGCAGAGAGGCATACGAATTTTTATAGGCCATTTGATTTGCAAATGAAAAAAAAAGCCGAAACCCTCTGAAACGCTTCAAACAAGGCCCCAGCGCTAGACAGCATTTGAGGAAGCGGGACACTGGGACACCCGAATGGAGGAAGAGCTGGAACAAATATGAGCGAGTAGAAAGACGGGCAAGACCACAGACATGGCCCCCTGTGGGAATGAAGTCAACACTGGCATGTCTGCATCTAGAAGTGTAGGACCGATGGTATGTCTCACCTCATATAGATGGGGCAACGTCTGCGGGTTCCTGTTGCTCACTGTCAAGTCGCATTAGAACAACAGAACGGAACAACCTTAGCGCGGACCATGCTACTCGTCCTAGGAAGGAGTACCATCCATCGGAAAATCGCGGAGTGTATCTCCAAAGAAGTTCCTACTGTAGGGTCCAGGACGAGCGCTTTTACCTGGAGAGCATACTTATGGTATGTGATACGTCAGAGGCACTGCAGTCGCGCTCTACGACATACACTCGCCAAAGAGGGTCTGCTTAAGGGCCTGAACGTTGTTGCCCCCCACCCCCCTTAAAATCTACACATGGTGTTGAACACCCGTCAGTCAGCATAGGGCGCAAGAACGGTCGAAAACTAAGTTACTATTGTTCAATTCACAACACCTTAATACAACTAGGCAGATGTCATGGGTCAGTTATACGCTAGAAAATACAGAAAATGAGTGAAAAAAAAAACAGAAACAGTACTACTAGGTTGGCGGGAAAGTTCTGCCACTTTTTCGAACTCAAAATACTTGTCCGTTACCTGAAGAGGGGTGAACGGTAATGTGAGCACTTACACATCAAAGAGTGGTCTTTCTGTTGGTACCATTCGCTTGATTCCTGCTTGTTCTTCTTCTGCAATATGGACAAGAATGTTATCCGCTACCATGGCCACCGACCCCTCCAAATGCTTCTGATAGTGCAACGCACTTCCAAAAAAGTTCTAACCGTTCCTCATGCAATAAAGCTGGATGGCTCTTCCCTTGCAGTGGTGTAGCACAGACATTGCTGCTTCTAACTGCGAGTTGCCTCCCGTAATCAATCATTACTGGACGAGAAATTACGAAAAAAACCTCGGAAAGTCTGAGTTCAAGCAAAGATTGAGTGATGTCCAACTTTGTATCGGCCTCCCTGCATTGTGAAGCGATGGCATCCATGAGGTGCTCAAAAACAGGCAAGGACCCCGCAGTAACATTGCTGTACAATTTTGATCTTACACGCCTTTATAAAAAGAACCCAACTTGAAAAAAGTAGTAGAAGCTTCCCGCCAACCTAATAAGCTCACCTCTGCACACATCATAGCAGGACATTCGCAGCATTTCACATGAAGCCTGGATTGAATTTGCTGCCGACAGTTTATACAATATATAATGTCCATTACATCAGGGCCTCCTGAAGAGGAGGCCATGTTTCTTGGTTCTGTAAACAATGTATACGGTAGGATCTTCCGGAAATCACAGAAAAAAAAACTCAAGTTATCGATAAAGTCTCGTTGGAAACGATTTTCGAAGTATAACGGTGGTACGTAAAAACAAATGTAGCTGAAGAAAACGGCAAAAAAAAGAAGAGGTCCATCCCCCACATAACTTGCTAACAAAAATATTTTCTCAAGGTTTCTCGAGGAACCATGGGAATGTAAGGACTTCTGAGAAAAGGTGCGCTGCGCGAGAGCGAGGACATCCAAGGAAAGGTTTGATGGAAAGATTTTTGAGAAATACCTTAAGATAGCCACAGCTATTACTCAACTGAGTTACTGGCCCTGCAAGAAGAGATACCTAGCATTGGTAACATGACGGATAAAGTGGACAGTATCTCCCAACAGAACCATTTCGAAAACCACCCCTTCTGTCCAGACCGCATGTTTCGCCCACGCTCCTACTCTGCTACTGCCTACCACTCCTTCCTAAAGCTAGCATAGGTTCAAGGCTCAAACGACCATCCTCAGTACCCACTGAGAGAAATACCCCACATCTACCAAATGTGACCCATTGAATCCATTTCAGGAAATAACTGAGGAACGAAGAAACAGCGCACGTCTGCTGGGCATTCGACCTCCCCGGATATCGACAAGCGTGGGTGGCCGCGACGCAGCCCACACGCGAGGAAATGTTTTGTTGGCGATGGAGCTGCCTGCTGTTGCCAAGCCCAACATCGCAAGCAAAATAATCATTCAATTATTGTAGTGAAAATTCAAGAGCTTAGGACAAAAAAATTGAGGAATATTTAGGGAAAGTAGCGCTGCAGAGGAAGAATTAATCATGGGAAAGTTGTCAGCGCCAAACTTGCTTTAAGAACTATAAGACCTATCCAAAAGAGGGTTTGCCCTCGTGAAACGGTAGTCTGGTGAGCACTTGAATTATTGAGGACATGGGAGTCTCCACCCCTGTCCTCACCTACAAGTAGTTTTGAAAAGAACTCGAAAGCACTGCCCAAGGCCTAGCTTTATCAAATCCGTGTCACTTCGCGTAAACCAATATATCTAGGAAAAGCCAGAACAAACTGTAGCCTAATAAGACTTGGTAAAGTAAAATGGGAAATTGTCAGGGCCTGTTTCTAACCGCAAATTTGCCGCCATTGATTCGGCGTAGGTCACAGGTACAAGGATTACTAAGAGGATTGTGGAAGGAACGATTGTAGGATTCCCAGAAAAGATTGAAATAATATGAAAAGGGAGTCTACGGTGTGCACTGAAGATTGTTGTTCACAGGCCCGAATTTCCCTTAGGTCTATCATTTAGTTGGCTCGTGCCTTTTGATCAACAAGTTTAATCGATACAATCGATGACAGGGACGGCCTTGGTGAAAGTTGATGAAGCGCCTATGAACATGTATGAAGTCCACCTTTGACCCTGTTAGATATGCGAGTTACTCCAACTGTGAAACTATGCTATGTTGAAGGAAGAACTGTACCATCAAGTAGAGTGTGTGAAGCCCTCATGTCGTCCGCATCATACTCTCATGGGTGTTGTTCATGACATAGGAGGCGCGCCATCACGTGCCGCTGGCAGACTATTTCTTAGCTGGTTGCCCTGATCTGCCATGTTTGGTCTGTTAGGTCTCGACGCGAATGATTTCCCTCGCACCGCCTTTCTGGCAGCCCTCGCCATATCTCGAATGTCATAAACTACCTCAGCAATAGCAGCATGCTGGAAAGGAACCACCAACGATAGACTGAGACAGATGACTAATAATGGAGGAAAAAACTTGTCTGGCCCGAGTGGGAGTGGATCCCAGACCAAAGCTGGAACTCCTCAACCTTTGTTCAACCTCGACAAGGTGTAACCAACCGGCCTAGTTCACACCACAACTAGAACTTGCGCTTAAAATCGATGTCTAAGTAACACTTAAATTCTGCTATCGCCCTGGCAAGAGAAAGGATAAAGGACAGAACGCGTTAGCCTATCCGTATTTGACCCTCAGACCCCGCGCGTTGTAATCAGGTCACTTTCCACTACACCGACTCCACCTCCCCAGGTATGTAATAAAAGTGTAAAATAATGTGGATACGGTTTTCATGGAAAATAGTTGCAATCGCAAATCAAGAAAAGCTTCCAAAAAATGACTCACTTCGGCGAACGTTTGAAGAGCTGCCAAGAGTTGACTGGATACTTGAAGATTTCGGACGAGTAGGTTTCACTGTTGATGTTTGTGATTCGTGCCAGCCTTCGATATCAAAGTGAGCCTTAGGAATTATAACTCTTCTTGAAGACCTCGGATAACCTGGTTCAACGCTTGGAGACTTGATACGAGTTCGTTCGTTTTTTGATCCTTGAGGATCGTGCCAGCCTTCGATTTCGAAGTGAGCCTTCGGAACTATAACTCTCCTTGAGGACATCGGGCGAGTTGGTTCAACACTTGGAGACTTGGCACGAGTCGGTTCGTTTTCTGATCCTTGAGGATCGTGCCAGCCTTCGATTTCAAAGTGAGCCTTCGGAATAATAACTCTTGAGGACTTCGGGCGAGCTGGTTCAACGTCCGAAGGTTCGGCACAAGTCGGTTCGTTTTCTGATCCTTGAGGATCGTGCCAGCCTTCGATTTCAAAGTGAGCCTTCGGAATTATAACTCTTGAGGACTTCGGGCGAGCTGGTTCAACGCTTGGAGACCTGGCACGAGTTGGTTCGTTTTTTGATCCTTGAGGATCGTGCCAGCCTTCGATTTCAAAGTGAGCCTTCGGAATTATAACTCTCCTTGAGGAATTCGGGCGAATTGGTTCAACCTTGGAGACTTGGCAGCGAGTCGGTTCGTTTTTCTGATCCTTGAGGATCGTGCCAGCCTTCGATTTCAAAGTGAGCCTTCGGAATTATAACTCTTGAGTGATTCGGGCGAGCTGGTTCAACGCTTGGAGACCTGCCACGAGTTGGTTCGTTTTTTTGATCCTTGAGGATCGTGCCAGCCTTCGATTTTAAGTGAGCCTTCGGAATTAATAACTCTCCTTGAGGACTTCGGGCGAGTTGGTTTCAACGCTTTGAGACCTGGCACGAGTTGGTTCGTTTTTTGATCCTTGAGGATCGTGCCAGGCCTTCGATTTCAAAGTGAGCCTTCGGAATTTATAACTCTCCTTGAGGACTTCGGCGAGTTGGTTCAACGTCCGAAGGTTCGGCACAAGTCGGTTCCATTTTTTGTCTTTTTTTGGTTCGTGCCAGCCTTCGATTTGCAGTGAGTTTTTGGAGCTACAACTCTCCTTAGCGAGTAATGCTCCGAAGTTCGCTGGGGTACGCGGTGATTCTGGAACAACTCACTTGTAGCGAAAAAAAACATCAAATGAAAAGAAACTTAAAGAGAAATGGACGAAAACGATTGGGTCGGCGGTAGATCAATAGGGATCGATCGTCTCAATAAGTCGTTCGTGCCCATGGACATTGTAGAGAATGAAAACAGGGGCAATTATGCCGTCAATTCAAAAATAAAAAATTCACTGACAATATGAGTGAGTTTTGGCATTTCTGGCAGTGTTCCGGACAACAAGGATGCGTTTTTAAAAAGTTCGGAATGCTATAGTTGTATGGAATCTATGAATTCACGCCGGGGTTTCCGAGTGCTCAAGCTTTTCTATGAGCTGAAAAACAAATGAAGGGACCACATAGTGTACATTTTTCAGATGAATACATTTCGCTTAACACTTTCTGTTGTGGAGGAATCCCTGTAATCGACTCCCAGAGCTTTCGGAAAAGTGTGACTAAGTTCCTGGACTACGGTTCATGACAGCAGTCTGGAGGAGGGGCGCTATGAAGATTCATGGACGCAACGACTTTTAACCTTGTTTTCAATATTACGATGCCTCTACCTTTACTATATCAGAGCCTTGATCTCGGGTTAATTAAGGGTTGTGAGTAACTCAGACGAGATGACGAAAAATTTTGACGCTGCCCGGCTAGGGTAGAGGGGGCATTTTACACTTTCGCACAGTTCACTTCGTCATACTAATTAGCGCACAAAACATGATGAGAGGCAGCTAAGCCAATTTGGTTAGCAGAAGTTTTATAGGCCTCTACAAGGACCTTATTTGGTTCCTCCGTCACCGAGCAAAAGGTTCTGGATACTGAGTTTATCTTTTCCTGCCCCTTGTTCGCTCCTTCCCCCTGCTCCGATACTTTTGGAATCAAGGATGAATGTCCGATGAGGTCGCCCAGAGATCTTCTTTCATTCACAAGACTGATGCTGCCACCTTCTGGCAGAGAAAAGGCGTAAGGATTCAAACAGCAAGTTATTCCAGCAGTGATGAATTATTCTACATAACTGCTTGGTATTCGTTGGAAACTAAGCCATTAGAACCAATTTCCTCTAACTTATTTGGTTGTTCACAGGGAGAAATGAAGCAGCTGACCTGTGCTACTTTCCTCCTCGGAGGACAGGTTTCCATCGTTGTCGTCCGAGCAAGACTCCAGAGGCACATATGATTCCGCTGACTCTGAGTCAGAAGAAGAAGAAGAAGATGTATCCAAGAGGTGCCACCGCAACTGTCCTCCATCGAATCATCGTCTAAAAAAGCAAAAAAAAATGTACTGCACGTAGCACTCACAGGCGAAAGGGTTCTATATTGCAGATTCTATATTGCAGATTAGTGCAGAGCCACGGTGAGAGGGGCAATTTTGGGCGCGCAGCATACGCACCACAACAAATTGATTCAACGCGGCGCGTGCTACGGTGTGACAAGTCAACTAGCTAGGAAGTAATCTGCAGCTTTACACGAGACCTCGCCGCTTGGAGCTAACAAATTATAATCAGAAAAAGCCTACTTACTTTTGTCCATGTTCTCATCAGGGACGGAAGACTCCTGCCTATCGTCCGAATCCTCGCTTTCGGTGCCAGAAGATCCATTCGTTCCCGATGAACTGCACGACGGGGATTTTGGCACAGAGAGAGCCTCTTTGACGGTGTCGTCCTTCACATTTTCTGCAAATCGGGATATTGCTCCTTCCTCTCTTTCACCAACGTCGCATTTCGCGATTTTAGATTTGCCCTGTGCTGACAAAGTAGTGCTGTAGCCCAAACTCTAGATTTCGTAAGCCTATATGTGCATGGCTCAATGAATGTTTGCGTTCTGCTGCCGCTGTAGATGCACCGCGGTGATTCAAAATAAGAAAATAATCTAATAGCAGTGTAATTCGCAACATCTCAATCAGACGATGCGAGAAAGGCGGGAGGAGCCCGCCTCCAGCCGCCTCGTTCTACTAATCGTGGTTGCTTATTGTTAGTGATCAACTTGGGAAGGAAACAAGCAGTGGTGGGAACGTTGTTGGGGTCAGCCATCCTTCTTCAAACCGCCCCGATTGATTGCGGTGATCTCAACTGTACATTCTAACCCTGGTGGGTGAGCAGGAGCTAACTATTGTTTCCTACCGAGCAGGGAAAATTTTCGTTGTCCAAGCAAGTCTAACAAAGTCACATCTGAATTTCCTCACTCGTATTCGTGTGAAGTCTTCAAAGGTGCCACATTATCCAAAAATTTCAAATCAATGACACATATTCATGATCCTTACAATCGAAAGGGTGAGTGAAGCAGCGTGAATTGTAGCGCAGACAAAACGGCGGCTAGTGCCGTTTGGACTCCAGAAATTTCGGCACCGAGCTTATTTTTGAATTGCCTAAGTCACCAAATCCGCTAAAAACTTTAGGGGTAGTTTAAGTTAACTTTATTGTTCAAGAATATGGCATTCAGTCTTGTCGCTGGCGCTAATGGATGACACTACGATTATCCGCGCTTTGCTAAGGCTGAGCCCAGCAGGTAAGTGCGTAGTGTCATCTCTTGGCGCCAGCGCCAAGAATGATTGTCATAATTGTAATTAGGATGTTAAATTACCTCTATATACAAGTTGTTAGCGGATTTGGTGACTTAGGCAATTTTTTAAAAATAGGCTCGGTGCTGAAATTTCTGGAGTCCAAACGGCATTAGCCCAAAACGGCCATTCACACCAATCTTGCGGAATAAAGTTGTATCACTGGTGGAAAGGGCCATCGTCCCAGCGCTCCAATCCACGTCCCGTCAGAAGCCAATTCGCAAATAACGATGTATACCCAGGAGAAAAACCGACTTACCTTCACCGATGTTCTCATCAAGAATGGAACCTTCATGCTCGTTCTCACTGTGATCATCTGAATCCTCAATTGTGCAGGAATTTCCTCTTGTTCCCGATGAACTGCACGATGGGGATCTAGAGAGAGCGTCTCCAACGGCGTCGCCCATTATTTCTTCTGCAAATCAGAGATATTACTGCACCTTTCCTATCATACAACCAACGTCGCTTTTCTTAATATTTTATTGGTTTGTGCTGACAAAGAACTACTACGAACGTACCTTTGTCGATGTTCTCATCAAAAACGGAAGATTCCTGCGTATCGTCCGAATCCTCACTTTCTGTGCAAGAAGATCCACTAGTTCTCGACGAACTGCGCGAGGGGGATCTTGACATAGAGGGACGTTCCTTGACAGTGTCGCCCATTATTTTTTCTGCAAATTAGGATATTAGGCATTGTTTACAGTCTGCAACCTAGATGAAACGGTGGTTCGGCGAAAAGCGGTAAATACGTATTGACCGGCGAATCGCCAGCCGCGCAGGAGAAACGCCACCGCGTTTGGCGGTTCGGCGAAAAGCAATAGATGCGTATCGATCTCGGTGGCCCCGCCCTAGCGAAAAACGCCAGAACGATTGAGCTAACGATTTTCAACCAAACGCTCCGCACTGCACTTCAATACGCATCGAAACAGTTTTGCGCAACCGCCTGACCCTTCGCCGAACCGCCAGTCGATACGTATCTGAAGCTTTTCGCCAGAGAGAAACGCAGGGTCGCGGACTGTGAACGGTGCCCTACCCCTTCCCCTTTTTAATCAACCAACGCAGCTTTTTCTCGCTGTTATATTTGCTCTGTGCGGACGAAGTACCACTGTAGCCTCAACTCTAGACTACCTCAGCCCATATGCACGTAGTTCAATGGGTTTTGCGATCTGCTACAACTTTATGCGCACCGTGATAATCCGAAGTGAGTAAATCATCTAAGCAAAGACAAAACAATGGGTTGGCGAGTCTATAGTTTGTAACATCTCAAACAGTCGGGGGCGGTGTGAGAAGGGCAGGATGAGCCCGCCTCCAGCTGCCTCTATCGGTGATCGGATAGTGATCGATTTAGGGAGAAAACAGCCAGTGATGGAAAAGCCTCCGATCGGGTCAGCCCCTCCCTCTTCAAAGAGCTCGACTGGTTGTGGTGATCGCACCTCCTTGGAGGGAAAAGCAGTATCGTTGCCCAAGCAAGTCACCTAGTCACATCTGAATTTACTCACTCGAATTCGTAAGATGTTTTCAAGAGGTGTCACTACCATGATCGCCCATCCAAAAATTTCAAAACAATAACATATAGTCATGCTCCCTGCAAACGAGAGGGTGTGTGAAGGGGCGTGTGTAGCGCAGACAAATGGCACTTCCCCCCAATCTTGCGGAAACAAGATGTTATCACTGGTGGAAAGTGCCATCTTTCCAGAGCTCCAATCCACGCCCTGTCAGATGCCCATTCGGAACAACGATGTATACCCAAAAAAAAGCTGACTTACCTTTGCCGAAGTTCTCGTCAGGAATGGAACATCCTTGTTGGTTCTCAGTGGGATCGTCTGAATCTTCAATTACTATGCAAGAAGATCCACTTGTTCCCGATGAACTGCACGACGGGGATCTAGAGAGAGCCTCTTTGACGGTGTCTCCCATTATTCTTCTGCAAATCGGAGATATTACCGCATCTTTTCCATGATTAAGGCAGCGTCGCTTTTCTTAATGCTTGATTTGTTTGTGCTGACGAAGTACCTCTATAGCCACAATTCTAGATTCTCTAGGTCTATAGGAGCAACGTTTATAGGTTTGGGTAATAAGGTAGGCGATCTACTAGAACCATCTACTAGACTAATGCGCTCCTATTCAAAGTAACAAAACAAAGTGAATAAAAAGAAAGCTGTGGGTGCGCTAGTCTTCATACTAGCAGCTCTTGCTGCAGAAAAGTCAGAAGGGCTTTCTGAAAGTGAAACCCTCTTCCTAAAGCCCAAGCAGAGGGCTAGCCTCTAAATGGTACCCGAGAAACGATAAGACGGCCAACTACCGCCGCGGCGAACCGTACGTTGAATCGCGTGCTGACACGTCATCGGACAACTAATACTTTTTTCTCTGCGTCTCATCTACGAACTCAGACACCCGACCGATGAACCCACCTCTCTAATACAGAAAGGAGTCCCACCTGCTCGATGAACAAAAGACCAGCAGTTGAAATGAACCAATTTTCAGCCTTGCAGCTGATGATGAAGAGCCGTGTCGGGGAATATGGTCTTGGTGCAGCGCCACCCTGTTTTTTCTTTTTTTTCTTTTACCAGCGGCACAACCGTGTCATGTCCTTCGTACCAGTCGTTTTCCATCAATTGTTGTCACTTCAACAACTGATGTAGAACGAGCTGGCAGCGCGCCAAATCCAGCCGAACTGGCACACGCAACCATTTGCAGCGAATAAGACTGAGTCTTCATTATTTCAGCAGGATCTAATCTAACATAGGTCCTCAGCGCAGCGCCCTCAATATCAAGAAGGTTCGCGTTCATTATTATCGGTCAGGAAAAGCTCTCTGCCCAAGAGCTTTTTTTTGGAGGAGTGTAACGAGCGCCGGGGAAGGTGAACTGGCTCACACATTCCGGAACTGCTTGCTCTACACCTAGACCCAAAATTCATTGGGGCGGGCTCACAATCGTTTCTTCGAATATTCGGAACTCTTGCCACAACACAGTTTGCTGATTCTGCATGAGATAGCAATCGTAACTACCTCAGTAGTAGCAAGCTTGGTCGATTGAACCTTAGAATTAGAAATCTTGGTCTATGCTATCTTGGTACTGTGCCAGCCGCTCGGATTTCTCCACTAAGGTAAGAGAAATAAATCAATCGAAGTGGGAGAGAGCGAGGGTGTGCGAGCTGCCTAAGGAAAGCTCATCTTTTAGCGACGCCACACAAAAGTTAAGATGTCCTACAATCATGTAGAGACCGCGAGCACCGTATCTTTGCAACTGAACGCACTTTCGCTATTGATCACGACGTCTCTCTTTTGCAGAATGTTGAATGAAGAATCATATTTATTCGGCCAATTTTGAGGCTGATACCTCTCTAAGGACCTGAACTGGTCCAATTCATTCTATCTATGTCATTTGAAAGCTCAGTCAGTAACCGTGCCTGCGAACTCTCCGCAGATAGGTGTAAACTGCATGTGAGGTAACTGAAGCGCATAACGTAGTTGTTGTTTGGTTCTGTCTGTTATTCTCAAACCCAGGAAAAATCGACATATTATGGGTTTTAGAGCTTGGATGAGTTTCTTGGGCGCTTCTTTACGCTGATAATATAATGCTTGCATGTGAAACTAAGAGTACGCTAGAGCAATAGGTGCAAGTTTGTGGTGATCACTTGGCGAAATATGGGCTCAGGTTGAACGTCAAAAAAACCGAGTGCTTGACACCGATTCAAGCTCGACAGGCTCCATCAAATTCGATGGCACTGATTTCATGCGTACAAAAACCATGAGATTTCTCGGACCAGCAATTACTCCTGAACTCGAAAGTGAGCGATGAATGCAACGTAGTCGACTGACGATCATCGCATGGGATTATCTGCGATAAGTAGATCGAAGCCCGCCTTCGTGTGGTGGAGATGAAAATGTCGCGCTGGAAGACGGACTCATGCGTTTGAACTGCATTGCTGACTATGGACTACGTAGGATGTTCGGTGGCGCTCCGAAACGCGAGAGACGCACCTTCGATGTTACGGCCACGTACATACCTCGCGCAAAGACTGACACCATCCGTAAGACTAGCTTTTAGCTTAGGTCCAGGGAAGGGCACTGAAGAGCCAGCAGATCCGTTAAACGACCGAACACGTCTAATAACGAGATGCGGCAAATTGGATAATCTTTGAATTACATGACATGCAAGGTCAGGAAGTTGGCAAAGGGTGGGTTCCCTTCTCGCAGAAGCCTGGAGATTCGCTATCACAGAACAGCTGGAGGTCCATTTCGAAGTAATCACCATCAACGAAGTGGCGTCCTTCCGAATTTTGAGCAGAAGAGTGAAAGTCGACGGGGCAATGTCAGTGGTACACGGTGTTGGGAACGTCCACTCGCAGCTCCATCTACACTCGAAATCCTTAAGATGTGTAGGCGGGGCTGCGTACTTCAACTGAAGGTATCGCTTTCTGTGCTTCTGAAAGGATATTTCTATTCTGACACAACTGTGGTCATGTCTCTGTCCAATACAGAAAGAAACGACAGTTGTTTCAAACTGAAATATCTCACGAGTAACCCATTCTATGCCATGTTCAAACACCACGCCTACTCCGTCTCAGGGACAAGGAGTGTATGTCATATGTGGGCACGGATTACCATGCAGTAAGAAAGGTTTCCTGTGTGCCCCTTTCAGCATAGGTGCCCCTCAGCGTCAAGCATCGTCGCGGAAAATTGGGGGGGGTCGGTCGACGCTCCCCTCCCCCTAGTAAGGGGTGTCCCTACGTCTCCTGACTGCGGAGTGTGTGGAAGTATCCTGCGAAGTAGTGTAATGCAGAAAGTGGAACTTTGAAAAAATCTTGCAATGACGCCCTCCAAACAAAAAAAACCCGAAGGAAAGGCATTGAGCAATTGCGTCTGCGTCGCGTGTTGAGATTGGAGCTATCGACCCACTGCATAGTATTTTTAGAAAGGTATTACCTCATTCACTTACCACCTTTGCACAGCTGCTACTTGTTTCGCTAGCTCTGTAAGTCAGGGGGTCGTGTTCCCTCGTCGCTATGAGGGGGAGGGAGTAGTTGCCTTATTTATTTGCCTTCTGAGAGGGGTTTGCGTGGCGTTGGTCATTATTTTCCTGATTGAATGTGAAACACATAAAAGAGGCGCCAAGCTTTATTGCAAAAAAGAACTCAAAAGATCCAAAAGAATCCCAAAAAATTTTTATTGTTCCTTTCTTCGAATATTTCGGCGCCTAGCACCTTCTTCAGCGATCTGAGACACTACAGTTAGCCGCCTTCAACCGAATCCTGACCTTGCCTTCAGTAGTGCCTCCGTTCTGGACTCTGACCTGGTCTGCTGCCTCCAATATGCCGCCGCTGCTCCTTGCGAAGGCCGCGCCTTCTAGTGGTGACCCTATCCGTCACCCTCCTTAAATAGTGGGAATGCCCAGTGAGCGCTTCTGCATATGATACCACTGACCGCTCCACCATTATTACGCAGTCAGTAAATCAACTGCAGGGCGTCACGTAGCTCGTCCTTACTATTCATTTTTAAGAAGAGCCTTCTTTTTTCTAGTGCTTCCAATGACTTTCTTTTCACCGAATTCTCTATGGAGCTGTGTAATACTGTAATGGTAAGTGCGGGAGGACCTTCGTGTGCATGAATTTTGGTGCGTTGCTTTGAGAG